AAGCTCCTTTCATTTCTATGTGCAAAAATGGTATGAATTATGAATAACAAATGTTTATAAAAACGCAAAACAAATAATTGGGAACATAAAAAAATAAACAAATGTGTATAAATTCTTTGTCATGTAGAGTTGTGTATACAAAAACTGTTGTAGACTGTCTTCATCTCTGTATGTTAAAACGATAAAACAGCACAGCTAATTCAAATGCTATCAAGCCTTGTGCTATAAATATGTATCACTGGTACAGGTATTTAGTACGTTCTGTCTATATGTTGATATTGTATTATTTATGTATATGAACATGAAACATAAATAGATAAATGAGTGTCAAACATTTTGGAGTAGATGTTGAACAGGTATATATACAAACTGTTGTAGAATATTTTCATATCTGTAAGAAATGATAAAATTTAATTCAATGCTATCAAATTATTGACCTTTCTATCACTGTATTAGATGTACAGGTATGCACATTTGTATGTAGGTACGTGTGTGTATGTATAACAATGTTAAATATGTGTATATACTGATATTGTGTCGTTAATGTTTGTGAAAATAAAACCAAAAGTGAAATAGTAATAAAAATTTAAAATAAAATACGTTATAACTAACATTTCTTTGTTAACATTTCGGAAAGAAAAACAAACTCAATACTGCCTTTTTGGATGAATAACATTATCGATTGCATTCGTGACTAGTGTCACTCTTTGTGTTGTATATATATATATATATATCTTTTAAGTAGCTTACCAAATCTTCTTGAAGGATAAAATGTTTTGTCAAAATTCGTTTCCGGCTATACTTAAAGCTTTTGTTATGATTCATTTCTCTTTACACATTTTGTCCAATATTTGTTCTGGGTACGTATATTTCATTTTTTTAAGAAAAAAACATCTAATTCAAAATTCTGATTATAATGAAGGATACATACATGTTAAACATACAAAATTACGGAATGTCTTACGTACATATGCCCTGTCAAAGACAGAGAAATTCTGATTGTAATGCTTGTATTCTTTTGTCAGATTTTGTCTCTAGATATGTTCAATTTTTATTGTTTTCATTTCCCATCAATAAACAAAATTAAAATTTGAAAAAAAAAATAAAAAAATATTGTAATTTAACTGAGGAAGATAAGTTTATATCTGTGTATCTGCTAGTTCATGTTCACACTTATAACATGGTGATCATAAATATATCGCATGGACATAGGGTAAACTTATAACCTGTTGTTATGGATCTGATAAGTAAAGAATACATATGTAACATGCGTGTGTCAAGTAAGAACGTTTGTCAACGAATGTGGACTAACTGGATAAAAGGATCTTTCTATGTCATAACATCAATAAGTCAGGACAAAAATATCAATCAAAGTTATCAGACACTGAGAAGATACAAAACCAAAAGAAAAATATCACGACTCCCGAGTTACACGTTTCAGCGATGATGGAAACATATTTGTAAAAGGGGTAAACATTTTACTGGCTTAACTAGTCTGGGAGTTTAAACCATGACCAGACTAAAGGGCTATTTAAACTAATTCTCACTAACATTTTTTTTTATAATAAGCTGAAAATGAACAAATATTTCTGTATTACCTATTTTCGGAAAATCGTTCTGGATTTCATATTTCAAGAAGAACTGTGCCATTTCCCAGAAGTTTCTATCCACCTGCTCAATATTCTATTTATTTCATATAGAACTATATACCAAACACTGCACCGAAATAAGTAATATTCTTAAAATGATAAAGACGCTATTATAAGGTCCGCCGACACTGGGAGATGAACAGGGGTGTACCAGCTCACATGGGTGTTTTTTTAAACTTTCTGTACCTTACAGAATGCACAGGGTCGTACTAGTTTATTTTTTTATATACAACTATAGTGACTCCAGAATGATGATGGATAGGCCGGTGAGGTGGACATTAAATGACCCCTAATCAGCAGGCAAGGACGATAAGTCAAGAATGACGAATCAGTGTCCAGGGAATGGATCACCGGGGGTTAGTCAGTGGTGTTTATAAAACATACTATAGCAAATCTGTATCAAACTCGCCCTGACAGGCTACATACCTGATCCCCCTGACGACGTAACGGGGCAATGGTGACGTCACAAACACCAGACAGACATACCTGCATGCCCTAATCCTGGTTTATATTGATGTGTATTGAGGTAAGAAACAAGACGGCGATGTGTCCCTGCCTCCTGACAATTTTAACTGTTACCCTCTCGTTTTCAGGTAAGCAGATTTATTTTATAATAAATCTATAAATGTAATAGGTTTGATTTGTATTCGATAAAACATATCAACGATATGTCTTAGACGTGACCGAGACTTTGTAATAAATATCATTAAAAATCATCAAATAAGACATTGCATGAAAATATATATATCTTAACGTTTGTACCCATTATTGATTTTGATACTTGATCTACAGTTAAGGAATTACACTGTAAATAAACATACATGGGTACACGCCGGTGTTAATGTGGAATAACGAAGATAGGAGAAAATGTGATGTAATTAAAATCTTCATTGTTTGTGTAACATGCCGCTGAGTAAGACTATTACACACCATATAGGCGACTATGTAAACTAACTCTTTCTAAATGCCTACAATGCATAAATATAGTTGTAAAAGAAATCTTCAGACACGATTTTACTTATGTTTCTATTTTCAAACTTATCAAATAAGGAAATTATGTAGGACATGCATGATACTGCAAACTATTCAGGACCTTGATTATAATTAATTGTTAATTATTTTTTAGAATAAATAAATAACTGTTTATATGTATAACTGTTCATTTTAAAACAGTTGTGAAACAAGTAAATACTGTTATATATCAATCGCTGTTGTTGGCCCGTTAGAAACCATACAGGAGGGGTTATTCTTATTAGGGGAGGAAACCGGAGTGGGGCAGGTGGTCCTTTATTTTTTCACGTCCAATCGGGGAATCGAAAAAAACAAGTCGTCTTGGTGAAAGGCGAGTGCACTAACAATTGTACAAAGCGAGCATTTAAAAAAAAAAGATTGTACTTTCTTGACAATCTTGAGATAACTAAAGGTATGACTTTTATGCTGTCTCATCACCGAACTATCTGAAAATTTTTAATGAACCTAACATCAACCCCTTCCCCCCTCCTATCTTTTGAAGTTTTAAACATCAGCAAAATAATGTGTAGCGTAATTGTTAAAGAGCGATGGCAGAAAACTGCCCGTATTTCCCTAAGTCGGCATTTATGAAAACGAAAAAAATGTTAATCAGTAGATAATTTTTAGCAGCGAAAATGCATAGAATAGATATAAAACCAATTGAATATGAATTTTTGAACTGCTGAGACATTAGATATCGTTAATAAGATACTGCAAATATAGCCATGTTCACTATATCTATGAAAATGATACACTTTCCCATCCGAGGACCAACTTTTGAATAAGCTTTTTTATTCCGTGATATAATATGCAAAAACGAATCGTATTCCGGAAAAGTGGTCCTCCTTTGGGAAAGTGCTCAAAATAATGAAAAACAGGGATGAGCGAGTTTCTTAAACTGCGACAGGTGTTTCTTTGGTTAAATGTTCGATGTAGCCGAAGTTGTAACGCACTTAACTTGTGACCAGACGGAGTGAACTGTGACGTTCGAATACTCGTTCAGGTTTTTTTTTGTTTTTTTTTTTTAATATTAAGGCATGTGATCTTTTTCCTTAATTTATTAATACAATATTTTTCAAATCAATGGTACATTTTATTGATATGTTAATTACATACCTATTGATTTATCTTCTATGGAATCATGTCAACAAATCACTGGTTACTTGTACAGTACAGCAACGCTTTGTAGATAAGACATCATCTTAAAAGTTATCTATGAATTGTTTACCCTCGAATTGGCACTAGTTATTTTATCTATTATTTAAACACAAACAAATGATGCTGAGATACAAAAAAACAACAATGTGGGATTGTTGCGTGAGAACAAAAGAAGACCAAACAAACGGTATGAAGTGAATACGGGAGAGTCATCGCTGAGGATAGTTTCATTGGTTTGAAATGCAGGATGACTGCAGCACAAAGTAAGGATCGCAATAGACGCGTAAGACATGGTATTATTTTTTTTTTATCATTTTGCCATTCATAGGTACAGGAAAAACAAAATCAAGATGAGTGTTTTGTAAGAAAGTAATTAACGGCATGACGCAGGCAGTAGTAATGAAAATTAAATCCTTTCAAAAGTTGTTGGTAATGATTGTACGAATGTTACATACAGCATATTATTTGTTTTAAATTCATAGAAATTACGCGAAATAAGCATTTGGTTGAGTCTTTATCGTGAAACGCATGCATCAATAGCAATGGCCTTGAATTCGGCTGATTACAATAATCTATTCTTAGACACAGGATTCCGATAGAGCTACCTGTATATAAAAAAATACCTGAGGACACCTTAAGGGAAATAGGCATAGCAACCCGCCATAGCTCTTTCTGCATAAACGTATTTAGGTTTTTGGCTTTCCAGGACACACCTATTTGTATATAGAAATAATACTCGAGTGTATCGAATCGATTGTACGGTTGATGTGTACATAACAAAAAATGATACTGCGGTATACGATAGATCGCCTTACTTAGATCGTGAAATTTTGAAACCGAGTTTAAGAACAAAACCGCTAGAATTATAGTGTCACCTAAATATTCTGCCGCACAGTTTTTTCCTTCCTTGCCTATAACATGAACATGTCACGTGTTATACTGTTTATTTGATTTCTATGTTACCATGTCATGTGATATACTGTTGTATATGATATCTATGCTAACATGTCACGTGCTATACTGTTGTATGTGATTTCTATGTGACTAGTGGTGAGAGGACAGGAGTACTGCCTTACCACGAACGGTGTGGAGTATTGTGAAAATAACTGCTGTGGTTCGTTCGACAACCAACAATGTTGTTCCTTCAAGTGAGTAGAACAGTCGATGAACGCAGGAAAGTTTTACATTGGTTTCATCTATTTGAATTATAATGATAGCCCAATACTATGTAGGGTCGATAAACAAATATTAGGGGTTTTTTTGTACTTCAAAACATATTCCATTGCTTTGTTATTTTAAATGAATATCCTTATATCTCGAAAATAAGCCGTGACGTATTTTCGTTTTTAGTAAGGAATCTCAGTTTTAGTTTCGAAGACGTCATATTTTCAAGCCATCTTATTTTCGAAGCATTTAGACTAACTTTTCTACATTTAAAACGGTCCATACCATTGATTGCCTACAGTCTGCAAGGCATCCAATGCATATTTTTTCAAGATTCGCATACATAAGTAAATGATATACTACCGGTAACCATATCTAAATATTCATCAATACTCTGACATGTCAATCAACGTTTAGAGGAAGTCGTGTAAGCGATGACTGGTTCATGACACATCAATTTACTGTATGAGTACAGCCATATATAAGCTGGTATAATTTACCATACAATCATAAAGATATTGAGTAGTAGGGTTGAATTTCTCATCATAACAGCTCAGTACTTTAGATTCATCTAGTCGTACAGCCAATTATCTTAGGATTGATTGCGCTTATTTCAAACAAATACGGGAGATTCTATAATGTACCGTCTACGAAAAGTTTTATATGCAGTCTCAATGCGATTGACATATGATTATTTACACTAAATTGATCTTTACAATAAGACATGATATGTTTGAGATATTTTGTATCTTTTACACATTTTACTTGTTAAGTTTTAGATTGATATATTGATTTTTGTGAATATCTATTTTTAGTGTTGTTTTGCCCTAAAGATTCACATTGGCGATGGATCCTTAAATAATACAAAATCAAGAAAAAACGATCTATTTGTAACTTCACATTATTATAATTATAAGAGCTCCACACTTTATTTAGCTTTGATAAACATTATATTTCGCTATGACAATTGTATACTACAGATAGGAAATATTTTGATTTTATTCAGTCCCACTGTGTTGGTGTTGATGGTCGTGGCTGCAGCTTTAACCATACTCGTCGTTGCTATCCTGATCATCCTCTGCTGCAAGGCAAAGAAGAAACAGAGGAGAACAGTGGTACAACCTGTCACCAACGGAGATAGGCCGCCCGACCCCCGGGACAGCAGGGCATCGTCTATCACTTACGGTACGTGGAAATTAATGCTTTTAAAATGACTATGTTTAACATCTATATCGTCAGGCAAAACTAGAGCAGGCATTTAAACAACAAGACAAAGTGGCTAGAAAAGGAATTACTTTTGTTAAAGTTACTTCAGCTTCGACCTCTCCGTAAGTTTGTTTATTTTTGCACTCGTTGTAATTTTTTTCCGAGTTATATTTTATGCAACCGGGTATGACAACGAGAGACGTTTGTTACAAGATTTTAACGTCTATCTAAATTCAGTTGCCGTTTTTTTTTACTCTAAAAAGAACTATCTACAGTTGAACAGCATGGTAAACAATGCTTTCGAGTTTTCAAACGTCTTATTTAACACCGTGCTTATAACATTATCGAGTTACCGATATAAGTGTTTTATGAAGGATGAGTCAGATAGGTGATGCATTTATCAACCGAATATGAACGATTCAAACAGATCTATTGACAACTTTTTAACCAAATTATATTTTATCAATATATAATAATAGTTTGGTAAGATACTCGCCCCTTTCTTCCGACTTTGATAGGGAGATTTCTCTTAAGCTCATTCGGTAGAGAGACAGACCACTTATATCTGACCAAAAACTATGTCGTGTTATAGATGCTCAGGGAGTTGACAAACTGGGGGAAATGATAGACATTCTTCGGTAAAGAAACCATGTGACAATATATGTAGCAAAATGAAAACATATTTTTATAGATGATTATATTCTTCATGTAACAGGGGTCATTACTTAATGAATGCCTCTCCACTACGGGTCTAAACAGGAAAATCAAGGAAATCTAGTTCACCTGTCCGACGATCTACCTACTGAGCTAAACCCCCCATCCCCTAGCAGTATTGATATGAAGCTGCTAGTATTTTACCAGGGTGGCATTAATATGTTATATTTTCTTCAACATACTAAATTTAAAAGAGTTGTTTTTCTTCTTATATATTTCTAGTGATTATTTTGCTTTTGTCTTATTAATACTATGATTATTTTGCTTTTATCTTATTAATACTATGATTATTTTGCTTTTATTAATACTATGATTATTTTGCTTTTATCTTATTAATACTATGATTATTTTCTGAACACCTGTAGTGGTTGTACCCCCGGGGGAATCCAGATTGTTCCTACACAATGCGACCAGCCTTCCTCCCTACACACCAGAGCCTCCGAAATACTCAGAGGATACCCATTATGCCTCCGGATCTGGACCCCTCTTAAGATCGGGACATGTTCATTCTGTTTGGCCAATTCCGGGGTCAAGCGGAACTGGAAATGGAAAAGTCGCATCGGCACCACCGAGCTACTCAAGTAACCACCAATCAATAAGTGTGGAACATGACTTGTCGAGCAGTTCCGAGACACCTGTACAACTGGACAGTCATATGTAACTGACAGTCAACGTGGTGTCACCATATCACAAATGTAACACTTGACAGTCATATATAACCTACAACCAGCATTGTGTCATCCTATGACACCTATAAAACTCGAGAGTCATATGTAACCTACAACCAGCGTGGTGTCATCATATCACATCTATAACACTGGAGTTATATATAACCTACGACCAGCATAAAAATTGTGTCATCCTATGACACCTATAAAACTCGAGAGACATATGTAACCTACAACCAGCGTGGTGGCACCATATCACAGCAATGACTCTAACAAAGGAAAGGAGCGTAAAAGAACTTGGTGGAAAATTAAAATTACGAAATGAATCGTTGTGACATGTTCTCCAATGCTCCAATACTTTCTTCTTCCTACAACCACGTCAGATCATTTCTTTAAACAGATTTCGTCAGATTGATCCAATCAGTAATAGAAATATCAGTTCGATCAGTGATGTATTTTATATGATTATTAAAAACGTAATTTTATACCAAATATCTTGTGTTTATGTTTATTAGCATCACAGCTTACTGAATCTCAATAGTAAACCTATAACCGGAAACCATTCGGTTAGGCAAATCCTATATTTTGCATTATAAGGTTATTTTGTCTGTTGAGAATTATTTGTTTGTTAAAAAATATCAAAACTAGTAAAATCGTTTCATTTGTTTAAACATTTATCATCATCTGACATTAGTTCAGCTGTCTAAATTCCTGTTACCTGTTTATAAGAACAGACAGACAAAGTTAAGATCACCGACAAAGAAATCAAACTGGAAACGTTTTGAAACCACACAATATTTCGCTTAATATTTCCTTTATTCATATGTGCCTTATTAAATTCTTATTTCTTTTCGTTTTTCTTTTTCTTTTCTTTTTTTACCATTTATATACTTATCGATTTGAACTAACACTGACACAATGGTACAATAACATATATGAACATTCCGAAGTACTCAACGTGTAAAAGCCAATACACATACACAATACACAGTAAGTCGACACAAAAGAATTAATCCCACATTTATTTATAAGAATGTTAAACAGTGTAAACATAGGTGAAAATCATACGTTAGAAGACTTATGATGGACTTCAAATGAAAATATCTGATCACAATTTTCATAGTTGGATGTTAAAAGAGAAAAGAATATGAACTATATTATCGTAAAGGAAGTTGACATTAACACACACTTATAGATTTATTTTTCTGGGGACGGGATCTGGGCTTAGAGCTGAAATCATCTTGTTAATATAGTATAAGGAAAGCTAAATATACTGCGCAAATTTTAATTTATAATTGACAGATTATCACTTCAAAAGATTAACATTTCTTTCATCAGACCAAAGGAATATGGGACGACATAACTATTGCTCAGTCCAAAATGTTAGAAAGTAGAAGCCGCTCGTATAAACAAGGAAACTGGCTGGAAAACCTATACAAGTACATAAAAGTATACATCGCATGACTCCAGCATATCTTAGATACATTATACCACAAACATACTCCGACATTTACGATTACAGAACAAGAAATCAAAACATCAAAAGTCGTTTCTCCCCGCTAGTATTGAATTATGGAATAAATTGACAGAAACCTGAAGAATATATCGTCTATTCCTAAACTTAAGAACTACTAAATCAGAAATATCATTGCTATTCCTTCCTTCGGTTCCCGTATTGGTCGGATCCACCATGCCAGGCTTCGCATGGAATGTAGTTCTTTGAATTATTCTTTCTTCTTCAAAATCTTGTCGATAGTCCTATCTGTTCTTGCCTTGCTGCCTTCGAAACAAACGAACATTCCCTAAAACATTGACACAAGCATGAAACTTCTTGACGTTAATACCTTGACCGCCTTTCTTACCAACTCTCTACTAATGTATTGCTTTATAGAAACTAGAATCTCAACAGCTCAACATGTAGAAATGTTAAATACGTTAATAAAATGGAATTGTGTAAACCGAACAAATGTTGTCATAACGATATAATTGCACACAATTTCATGAAATATCAATATGCATTTCTTACCGCGTCCATGTCCCTTACCACATACCTTTCTTCATTTATTATCATGTACCTGTAATAGTATCAAATATTAGTCATTTATAAGGCCACTAGTTTGTTAGAAAGATGAGAGAGATTTATAGAAGTACACCGTACTTATTTCCTCATCATGTTTGCTTATCTGATTTGTACTATTCATGCCATGTATTTCATTACTTAAGACAGTTTAAACCAACCAGTTAGTCCTACAACTTTCATTTGACTCACCTGTATTGACCTTTTGTGTATAGAATCCACCCCATCGAGCACAATGCCTATGTTTATATTGTCGGCAGCAGTGTGTCAGCCAGCTGTGTCATAGAGTAAACTTACTTATATTTGGTATAATTATATCGATGATAAGTTATACTTACCTCTATAAAGGAGTCGGCAGTATTACTCATTGTTCTCCTCCCTTTTATGGAAATTATTCTCCGAACAAGATTAAAATTCAACAGATTTCTCAGAAGAGGTGACACATTGCTATAAATGGCGCGGTGGGACCATTTGGATTCAGACTCTCACAAGAGCAATTAATGTGAGGACATAACAGGGATACCAGGTTACTGAACGGCACGTAAAGCTGCGGATAAAAAGAAACAAAGTAACATTTGATGTCTACATATCTATATAGCACCACCTATTTGATACCAAATTATTGTCGTGGTTTAAATTATATATAGTTACTATTGTAATATGCGCGAATATCGCATCAGTGTCATTGTGTGTGTGTTTATTCCCGGTAACGTTATAATAAGGGGACACAGCAAAAGAAACAACAGTAAGACCATGTTTTCCTTTCAAATATTCAATAAAAACACAGTTTAGTTCATTAATTTTTTTCCGGCAAATGCGATATACCTTTACCTTTCTCCGATAAATAATTTCAGTTTCTTCTTGTGATGCAGGTAAACAGAGTAGTAAATAAACCAGAAATCATGTCTACATTGGTAGACGTTATTGCTCCTGTTGTCATTGACAACGGAAGTGGAATGTGCAAGGCATGATTTGCTGTAGATGATGCGCCACGTGCAGTTTTTCCTGCCATTACGGGTCGACCACGTTATGAGGTTAGTGATAACCTTATCCAATCGTTCTACACCAATTACTTTCCAAAACGATACAAGCATGAGGAAGTATATGAAGTTTTTTTTACAAAGCTTGATCCTAACTGAATCAAGACCATAATAACTACAGAAGTATATTGTGTTTTGACAGCTGAGATGGAAATTATCCGTGACATTAAGGAGAAAATGTTCTACGTGGCTCTAGACTTTGACAGAGAAATGACATCAGCATCTACGTCTTCGAAAGTCGTACGAACTACCAGACGGTAGAGTTGTCACCATTGGCAACGAAATGTTTCGGTGTCCGGAGGTTCTATTCCAACCAGCTCTCATAGGTAATGGTTGCCTTTGTTATACTGTTAAATATTATACATTTAAAGTTAAATATGGATTTCCTTTCGAATCAATCGTTCAATCCAACATCAATAATCAACACCGTCATATGTCTATAGGAATGGAAGTTAACGGAATCCACGAGCATCTGCAAAACTCGGTCATGGCTTGTGATATCGACATCTGACGAGAGCTCTACAGCAAAACAAAACGACTGTAACCCTGATATAATGGTAACTAAGAATAGTTGTAAGAGGTTTCGAGGAATAAGCGTATCATTTAAAGGTTGTTGTTATTTATCAACGTTATTTCTGACAATTCAATAAATTCCTGATAAAAAGGCGAGTTCCTAGTTTTAACTTGATGGTGTAATACAGCCATGTTCTGGACAGTGACGTCACAGGAGTGTGGATCTACTTTATATAGTCCTAACCAAGTATTCAATCCTTTCGAGCGTACATCTTTTCGAGAGAAATATAATAAAACAGAAAGCTTTGTAATAATTTTATTATCAACAAAATATAAAATATAAAGAAACATTTAATAAAAAACGAGTAAAAAGTACATCCTTTCGTATGTATCCAACACAATCTAGGAATCTAATGTACATTAACATAAACATATATATAAATAATATCATAACATACTCGTGAACACGTTTAACGTGAATTGAATGTATTATGAGCTTTTACAAATGTGGCAAACTTTATACACCGTTAATGAACTTATATAAAACTTTAAAAAGCATCGTAATTTTTTCACTCTTTCTTGAGTTGAACACGGTACAAAACAAAACTGTACCTTATTAAACAAACCAACTTACGTCAATCAGAAATAGCTTAGTTTAACAACAGATGCAACAGTTTCAACACAATTTCGTTTTTCAACGATAATTATACACACATCATGTAAATGTTGATGATTCTATTCAACACAATATTTGTAAATAATCATTTTTGTACCTATCCTGATGCCAATATATCGCGCAGCAGATTCCATTGTCAGTTTACATAGCACCAGATTCAATGTTCAATAAATCATGGAATAATACCAGTGAATCACGTTCATTATCCAATTTGCAGTATATCACAGATATTAAAAGAGTATTGATGGCATCTTTCCATGTTAAGTCTAGAAACATTTCCTGTGAACAATTCCTGGTCCACATTCATCATATTCCTGTTTTGAGATCCACATCTGTTGGAATGTAGATAGAGATCCCAGGATAGATCCACCGATCCACACGGAATACTTTCTCTCCGGAGGTGCGATCACCTTAACTTTCATGTTGTTTGGTACGATTCCATCCAGTTCTTTCTTAAACCGGTCAGCCATACCTGAATCAGAGGAAAGACAAATATTATCTAACTTATAAGATATAACTGAATATGCAGTGAAGTTGAATTAAGTTTTTGAAATATTGAATATTGCAGATGCTTTCTCTCAAATAACAAAACTTCCATTGTTGTTATATACTTTGAAGTTAATGTAGTGTCACATACTGGAACCATCAAATACAATACCGTCGCCAGATATTCCACTTCCATATTAATAATACAAGAACTAATAACGAAATGAAGATATCGTTAAATTTTGTTGTTGTTAATAGCAATGTAAATATTGTTACATACCTGGAAACATAGTACTTCCGCCGGACATGACGACATTGCTGTAGAGATCTCGTCGGATGTCGATACCAAAAGCCATGACTGAGTTGTGTAGTTGTTCGTGAACTCCACTGGATTCCATTCCTGACAACAAAAGATCGTCAGGTAATAGTTGTTTGTTTAATCGATGAATTTGAAACCAACGAAGAATGCTTGATTTCGTTTCAATGATTCATATTAAACATAATAAAAAAAAGCCGCTTACCTATTAACCCTGGTTGGAAGAGAACCTCTGGACACCGAAACCTTTCGTTGCCAATGGTGACAATTCCACCATCCGGTAGTTCATACGATTTCTCTACTGTAGAAGACGTTGATGCTGACGTCATCTCACTCTCAAAGTCGAGAGCGACGTAAGACATCGTCTCCTTCATATCTCGAACAATCTCCATTTCAGCTGCAATGACAAAATACCCTTTTGTATGATAATTGCTTTAAATCTGTTTTGAAATTTGTTTTGCTTGTTATTTCGTAAGATGTTTCAATTTTCGATAACGTTAAATCCTTAATCATAATAAATAATAATAATGATGTAAAAGAAATAAAATAATGAAGAATAATTTGAATGACTTACATGAGGTTGTAAAGTTGTATCCTCTCTCGTGGAGGATCCTTTGGAGGTAAGCTGTGAGGTCACGACCTGCCAGGTCAACACGTTTGATGGCGTGAGGGAGAGAGTAGCCCTCGTATATAGGTACAACGTGTGACACGCCATCCCCGGCATCAAACACGATGCCCGTGGTCCGTCCGGAGGCGTACAAAGACAGCACAGCCTGTATCGCCACGTAGAAGGCGGGCGTGTTAAATGTCTCAAACATGATCTACAAAAGAAATGATTGAGAGTTATATGACAAAATGCAATGATTGAAAACAATATGATGTAAACATTTCCTTATTGGAAATATGACTTTTGTTAGATGCATCCATCGTTTGGTTTCGTTTTGTAATATTTTAACGCTGTGGTTTATTTATTTCTATTTTTTCCTATTTCTTTTTTTCCACTTATTTACCTGTATCATTTTTGCTCTATTTTTCAATAATTTACCTGTATCATTTTTTCTCTGTTGGCCTTAGGATTTATTGGCGCCTCGGTCAACATGACCGGATGTTCCTCGGGAGCCACACGAAGCTCGTTATAGAAGCTGTGGTGCCAGATCTTCTCCATGTCGTCCCAGTTGGTGACGATGCCGTGTTCCACTGGATACTTTAGAGACAGAATCCCACGTTTGTTCTGAGCCTCGTCTCCGACATAACATTCTTTGCCGCCCATACCAACCATAACCGCCTATTGAGTAATCAGATTTTTTCAAACGTAAAAGTAAAGAAAATCGTGTTTGTCAAACAATATAATTAAATAATATCGTACAGTGTATCAGCTAGAGAGTGTACGTATTTACAGTAGGATGTAAATCTTAAATAAAAAAAGCATTTGATTGTTGGGTTATGAAAAGGAACATTTATCTGCTTGAGTCAGAAACATTTGCAAGCAAATTATGATCGTTATTCTTCTGTTGTATGTTTTTATTATGAAATGTATAACGGTACAGGTATATCCTAGTTTTCCACTCACATCATAACGTGGTCGTCCCGTAATGGCGGGAAAAACTGCACGTGGCGCATCATCTCCGGCAAAACCCGCCTTACACATTCCACTTCCGTTGTCAATGACAACAGCGGCGACATCTTCTTCAAATGTACACATAATTCCTGGTATCTTATTATTCCAGACTTTTTTCTGTTATCCTACAATAGATGAAACTAACATTAGTTTTCCGTAAGATTTACAATATTATATCACGTGCCAGAAAAGGTTCGACTATCTAATGAATTAATCTTATCGACGAGGATTTACAATTCGACAAACTAGTTTATTTGTTTTAAAATAGAAATTGTTTATATATTTACGTTTTTACGTGAAAGAGAAAATTAAGCAACACATTCAATCCTGAATAACGACAAGGAAAAACAACACATTCGGAACCCATACCATATTAACGTAAAAAACGAAACAACAGGAATGAAGGAAATAACAGATAAAAAGGAAAATATCATGAATGTTTTCTGTTTGAATAAAATAAATATGTAGCATGTGGTTAGTAATTGTCCTTGTTAAGCTTATTACAGTTACCATCAACATTGGGAAACGAGAAGCAAAATATACATTTTAAAATTTGAATAGATGAATAGAATTTTGAAAATCCCTTAGTACGTGTTGATTATTATATTACAGAAAACACCCACAATATGTTTGAAGATAAAAATAACTACAACAATTCTTACCTTTCTTAGTCTCAGCTTCTCACTGTGTGTCTTCTAGAAAGGTTGCTATCCCTGTTGTTTAAAACATGTTGCTCAATCGTCTATAAATTAGGAGGTGTACTTCTGTGTCTCTCTTGTCGGATCTGTGGTCGATTCTGAATCCCGATGGTCTCACAGCGTACTATATAGTAGTGTATCGCTACTTCTGAGAAATCTGACCAACTTCTAATCTAGTTCGGTAAATAGTTTTTATATAAGGTATATAAACAATTAGTAATACTGTCGATATATCTATATGTGTTACCTGTCATCGACCTAATAACGACATAAACAGTATGACTAACCTGAACGACACACTACGGCCGACAGTCTAAAAATAGACATTATAGGGTGTATTCCGACTACAGGTAAGCACAGGTGAGTCAATTGAACGTTCTATTTATAAAACGTCTATTTCTGTCTATAAGGAACATATGTACATCAAAATTGTTAATTATCTTTTAATTCAATAAAGTTGCTACACGAAAACTTTGATTGGAATTTTATTTATGTTTTCGCATAAAACATAAAAATACATCTGAGCCAGCTGATTTTGGGTGGTTTCCTGAAGTTTCCAGGTTAAATTTGCTTTGACTGTGGTGGTATAATTATATATTTGCCTTGTTTGAAACGCAAAACCTGAATTAAATGCAGCTTGATTGACATGAGATAAATAATCTAAAATATTGTATTTAATTACGGAACAAAACTTGCAAAGTATCACAGACATACAAACAGGCAGGTTAACAAATACCGTCACGGAGGACATAACCCTGCCAGCTATACTTTAAATATTTTTTGAAGAAGATGCATACAATAACATTTAAATCGGAGTTTAGGTAACACATTTGTGAGATAGCTATGAATGAAATCACTTCAGTGTAGGATACTTCTGCTATAATAAAAGCATGTTTCATTCATATAGAGTTACAGCTCGTAAACTATGTGTACTGTTATGATAATTGTTTTACCATGAAACATAATATCTTACAAATTAATCTAAACCAATGGGAAGTTTTGTTTTACACTACACTAAAAATTATTGATAAGGATAAGTCACTCATCATACAGAATAATTTATGATGTTATACCTAAAATCAACTCAATGGAATTAAAGCCAGATGAATAACATCGGTATTACGATGAGGTATCACGCAATCCATCGAGCTCGTTTAACATACTTGTTATATCTTTTAGAGAGCAGAATATACGATCTGGTAGGCGTCTAGAGTAACCACTAGTAACTGTTTTGACAAATGGCAAATTTTATGTTGCTCATATTCTAATAAAAAAGGCTTTAGACACTCTAAAAAAAATTTCCCACTGAACATAAAAAGAAAAACATCTCTCTCTCTCTCTCTCTCTCTCTCTCTCTCTCTCTCTCTCTCTCTCTCTCTCTCTCTCTCTCTCGGTCTTTTTTTTTGCGGGAGAGGGGCAGCATTGAAATACATATAGATATTTAATTACAAACGTCAACTGTTTGGGAGAACAGAATTCAACACAGAAATAAAGAGTGAATATTAGAATAACTTATCTGTGCCAACTTTTTATATGTATATCTGCATTTATTACAATGAAATATACCACCAGTTAGCTACTGTATCGGTTTGACATTTTCCTTATAGACCGACACAGAAGTTTTATAAATAGAACGTTCCACGTTCACCTGTGCTTACTTGTCGTCGGAATACACCCAATCGTGTATAATGTCTATTTTTAGACTGTCGGCCGTATTGTGTTTGTCAGGTGAGTCATATAGATATTTTGTTTATGTTTCATAAGTCGATGGTAATATCTACATATTGATAATTCGACAGTATTACTAATATTTTATCTACCTTATATGGAATATATTCACCGAACTAGATTAGAAGTTGGTCAGATTTCTCAGAAGTAGCGATACACTACTATATAGTACGCTGTGAGACCATGGGGACTCAGAATCGACCACAGATCCGACAGGACACACTGAAGTACAACTCCTATTCCAGAGAGGTCAGAGCGACAAGATTTAAACTACAGTTATAGCAACATTACTAGAAAGCAAACGAAGAGAAAAGTTGATATAAAGAAAAAGCAAGGTAAGAACTGATGTACTTTTTCAACGTTATTACCAGTCTATTATCGAAGTATGTTCAAAAACCCATATACGATATCGATTAAGCCATCACGAAAGCTTTCTTTTATTAATATTACAGAACTTTGTTATAAATATACAACTTCTTATTGGTAACAATGACGAAGAGAAATGTTTCGACTGTTTTGTTTTCCTTGTCGGTATTAAGTTCCGGGCGTGAGTATTTTCCTCTATTTTTGCATTTAACGTAAACCATTCAATAAAGCATATGTTTTTTTCTCAATAAATCAGCTTCAAATTGTAGATCCTTGTCGATAAGCTTTAATCATACAATCTTTGCTCAAATTTTACTGTCAGACGTGATATAATATTTTAGATCATTCGCCGAACTAATATGTCTATTTCTTTATTTAAGGATAATAAAGAACATTTGGAATACTACAATACCAGAAATTATGTCTACATATGAAGAAGAGATCGCCGCTGTTGTCATTGACAACGGAAGTGGAATGTGTAAGGCGGGATTTGCCGGAGATGATGCGCCACGTGCAGTTTTCCCCGCCATTACAGGACGACCTCGTTATGATGTGAGTGGTTAACTAAAATCTACCATTATATACAAAATAACATATTATGATAACAAACAGCAGAGTTAAATATCCAGTATAATTTGTTTGCAAATATTTCTGACTCTTCCAAAGTTCCTTTTCATTACACGCCCATAAGTGCATTATTGTTTCTAGATCTACATCAAAAACAAAATATCAGTTTTAAGGAAATGTGTGTTGATATCTTAATGTACACTCCCTTCATGTGCCATGTACGATTTTTCTTTAATAATATGTTTCACAAATACAAAAATTGTTTCCTCAACAGTTGGTCATGGCTGGTATGGGTGGAAAAGACTGTTATGTTGGAGACGAGGCTCAGAACAAACGTGGGATTCTGTCTCTAAAGTACCCGGTGGAACACGGCATCGTCACCAACTGGGACGACATGGAGAAGATCTGGCACCACACTTTCTACAACGAGCTCCGTGTGGCTCCCGAAGAACATCCGGTCATGTTGACAGAGGCGCCACTAAATCCTAAGGCCAACAGAGAAAAAATGATACAGGTACATATAAATACAAATAGTTTTTTACCAAAGCGTGAAAAAATAACAAAAACGAAAATGAAAAACAAAACGAAACGGAATGATGTATGCATCTAACAGAAGTCATATTTCCATCAAAGACAGGAAATCCATCTTTCATATTGCTCTCAATCATATCTTTTGTAGATAATGTTCGAGACATTTAACACGCCCGCCTTCTACGTGGCGATACAGGCTGTGCTGTCTCTGTACGCCTCCGGACGGACCACGGGCATCGTGTTTGATGCCGGGGATGGCGTGTCACACGTGGTACCTATCTACGAGGGCTACGCCCTCCCTCACGCCATCAAACGCGTGGACCTGGCAGGCCGTGACCTCACAGCATACCTCCAAAGGATCCTACGCGAGAGAGGTTACAACTTCAAAACTTCTTGTAAGTCAGAATTTAATTAATAATAAATATTTTCAATTATTGACATATTCAAGCAAAAGAAATTGTCTTCCATTATCAAAACACTATCGGGCCTTCATTTTAGGATTCGATTTTACGGAAATGTTTTTTCATTGCAGCTGAAATGGAGATTGTCCGTGATATGAAGGAGAAGATGTCATACGTGGCTCTCGACTTTGAGAGTGAAATGACGTCAGCATCAACGTCTTCTACAGTAGAGAAGTCGTATGAACTACCGGATGGTGGAATTGTCACCATTGGCAACGAACGATTTCGATGTCCGGAAGTTCTTTTCCAACCAGGGTTTATAGGTAAGCAACTCTTTGTTTTTCATTGTTATTTTTAATATGAATTATTTAAGCGAGTTGAAGGCCCTTTGATTTTGAATTCATCGATTAAACAAACAGCCATTACCTAGCCACCTTTTGTTGTCAGGAATGGAATCTAATGGAGTCGTCGAGCAACTACACAACTCAGTCATGGCTTGTGATATCGACATCCGACGAGAGCTCTACAGCAATGTCGTCATGTCCGGCGGAAGTACTATGTTTCCAGGTATGTAACAATATTTACATTGCTATTAACAACAACAAAATTTAACGATATCTTCATTTCGGTCCTACTTCTATCGTTATTCATTAGGAAGTGAAGGATGTACTGACGGTATTATATTTGATAGGTTCAATATGTGACACTTCATTAACCTCAATGTGTTTTATAAAAAAATAATTCAACTTCACTGCATATTCAGTTATATCTTATCAGTTAGATAATATGTCTTTCCTGTGATTCAGGTATGGCTGACCGGTTTAAGAAAGAACTGGATGGAATCGTACCAAACAACATGAAAGTCAAGGTGATCGCACCTCCGGAGAGAAAGTATTCCGTGTGGATTGGTGGATCTATCCTGGGATCTCTATCTACATTCCAACAGATGTGGATCTCAAAACAGGAATATGATGAATGTGGACCAGGAATTGTTCACAGGAAGTGTTTCTAGACTTGACTTGGAGATGGCGATTAAGATGATATCAACGTGTCTTGTATGTCTGTGATATTCTGACAATGGAATCTTACCCGTGATATGCTGACAATAGTGTCTGGTTCCTGATATTCTGACAATGGAATCTTGTCCCCGATTTTGTGCCAAGATTTTGTGCCAACAGTGTTTGGTTCCTGATATTCTGTCAATATCTGGTCCCTGATACGCTGACAATGGTATCTGGTCCCTGGTACTCTGTCAATGGTATCTGGTCCCTGATATTCTTACAATAGTGCCTGGTTCCTGATATTCTGACAATTGTGCCTGGTTACTGATATTCTGACAATAGTGCCTGGTTCCTGATTTCTGACAATGGAATGTAGTACCTGATATTCCTACAATGGAATTTAGTTCCTGATATTCTGACATTGGAATCTGGTTCCTGATATTCTGACAATGTAATATAGTCCCTAATAGATTGAACATGTGGTCTAGTCCGTAATTTACATAAGGTAGAATATGGTCTGTGATAAACTGGCAATGAAATCTGGACCAAAATATAACTTGCCAGTGTCAGCCTCTGGCGGGTTTATATTGTGTATGGTTTTCGTTTGAAACTTTAATCTTAAATCCTGTGAAAGCGATTGAATATACTGCCTAAACTACATTATGATTGTCATATTTACAGAAACATAATTTTTGAACGTTTTAAAGGTTGGTTCTCACCTATTTTCGACGGTATTGCAATATGTATTAGATATAACGTATAACTGTTATCAAGGAATTTCTGAACTTGCATAGCACTTAATATAGTTTAGTGTAACCTCTAGTACTTACCATGCCGTTTATAATGCTTATTCGATTAATAATAAAATAACGTGTAGTTGTAGCCGTTTAAACCGAGACCAGTATAATTTATAGATCAACCTTTTGCATCTCGATAATTTAATTGCATTTCAACATTTTTAGCATGTCAATAATGCTTAAAATTAACAGAAACGTTGGAATATATCTTTATGTTATCATTATTGTTAAAAATTGATTGTTCCGTTTATAAATAAATTTCATATTCACAAACTGCTTGATTCACATCCACATTCGACACAGTTCAGTGACAATGATATGTTAGGATGTATATCAATGTCCCATATTTTGTATTCGTGAATCGTTTAATCATACCTCATACTTGAAATTACTTTGTGATAATTAAGTTCATTTTTATATTACATATTTATATGCTATTGATTATTTATTTATTTATCTATTTTGTATGTTGGAAACTTAAATTACCTCAATAATTTTGGTGTTTTCTTTTTTATGTTTTGTTTATATTTTAGATAAGCGTATATATAAACTCATGATGTATTATATTTATAATGACACACATGTATATACAATTAAGTTTGTTAAATATAATTTGCTGATAATAAAGTTATTACAGTTATTACGAAGTGTATGATGTTATCACTAATGACTGTTTTGTAGATAACTTGAATTCAGTATTGCGACAATTATGTTCAGACACCGCCATATAAATCTAGGTCAAAGCCAAATAAAAGCACGTCCTCAAAATGAGAACCGGGATAGTGACATAAAAACATGGCTAACATTAATGAGGATAATAACAAAAATTAACCTTTACATCACAAAAGGAAATAAATACTTCCAATTGAAATAATGCCTATAAAACAAATATCTGATCTGAAAACATTTGTCGGAAAGTGCAGGTCATCAGTTCCTGTGATATTATAAAATGTAACTCATTGTACATTGGCCATTTTTTTATGTCTTTTTAGTTCTTCTTTTTGTCGCGTCGTCTTCATTTCAAATTCTTTCTGTCCAAGAGGAAAGTCGATACTATGAGGTAGATATATTCATCATTTTTATTAATCAAAAGTAGCTTTTTATATAGCTTGTAACGTCATTTCTGAAAATTCGATGACTTCCAAATGGAATATCCCTTGTGATACACTGGCAATCGAATATTCTCTGTGAAATACTTACAACAGAATCTCCCCTGTGATAAACTGACAACAGAATCTCCCCTGTGATATACTGACAACAGAATCTCCCCTGTGATATACTGACAACATAATCTCCCCTGTGATATACTAACGATCGAATATTCTTTGTGACATGCCCATAATGGAATCTCCCCTGTGATATACTGACAACAGAATCTCCCCTGTGATATACTAACGATCGAACATTCTTTGTGACATGCCCACAATGAAATCCCCCCTGTGATATACTGACAACAGAATCTCCCCTGTGATTTACTGACAACAGAGTCTCCCCTGTGATATACTGACAACAGAATCTCCCCTGTGATATACTAACGATCGAATATTCTTTGTGACATGCCCACAATGAAATCTCCCCTGTGATATACTGACAACAGAATCTCCCCTGTGATTTACTGACAACAGAGTCTCCCCTGTGATATACTGACGATCGAATATTCTTTGTGATATGCCCACAATGGAATATCCCCTGTGATATAATGACGATCGAATATTTTTTGTGATATACTGACAACAGAATCTCCCCTGTGTTATACTGACGATCGAATATTCTTTGTGATATGCCCACAATGGAATCTCCCCTGTGATATACTGAGGATCGAATATTCTTTGTGATATGCCCACAATGGAATCTCCCCTGTGATATACTGACAATGAAATGTCCACTTATGATAGACTGACAATGGAATGTCCTCTGTGATATACTGACAATGGACAGTCCCCTGTGATATACTGACAATGGACAGTCCCCTGTGATATACTGACGATCGAATATTCTTTGTGATATGCCCACAGTGGAATCTCCCCTGTGATATACTGACGATCGAATATTCTTTGTGATAGGCCCACAATGGAATGTCCCCTGTGATATACTGACAATGGACAGTCCCCTGTGATATACAGACAATGGACAGTCCCCTGTGATATACTGACAATAGAAAGTCCCCCTGTAATATACTGACAGTGGAAACTTTTCTGTGATATCCTGACAAAGGTATCTTCTCTGTGATATACTGACAATGGAATCTAACATGTTATATACTGATGATGGAATCTCCGTGATATACTGACAATGGACAGTCCCCTGTGATATACTGACAATAGAAAGTCCCCCTGTAATATACTGACAGTGGAAACTTTTCTGTTATATCCTGACAAAGATATCTTCTCTGTGATATACTGACAATGGAATCTAACATGTTATATACTGATGATGGAATCTCCGTGATATACTGACAATGGGATCTTGTCTGTGATAAACTGATGACAGGAATTGTTCCGCGATTCTTTGTTTCTAGTCTTGTTATGGAGATTGTGGTTAAGATGACATCAATACTCTTTGTATAACTTTGATATAATAATAAAAGAATCCGTGATATATACTGACAATTGGATTCTGGTATGTGATATACTGACAATAGGATATGGTCTGTGATATATTGACACTGGGATCTGGTCCGCTGTGAACTGAAAGTGGAATCGTTTTGGTCGTACGCTGACATGGCAGTGAAATGTAGTCTATGACATACTGATATGGGTGGGAACTTTATGATATTTTTTGACAATGGCATATTTATTATCCAAGGTATGCTGAAAAAAAAAAATTAATCATAAATATTTTGTATGGAATTATCACCGCATTTCAGGTTTTGTGTATATGTATCACTCAAAGTCGATTTTGTGTAGCATATACTTCCGACAGAGATATATAGCAACTTCTTAGATGTTTTGTATTCATTGTTAATAATATTAAAGTGTACAATGCTTACTACATGTTTCATGTATTATTTCGCATTAATGTTGATAGTGTTTTTAAATTAAACTCAAGGAATTTTCGTTGATATAAAGGAAAGGATGTTTCAGTAAGTTTGATGTTTTATTTTATATATCTTTATATCATCCGTTTTGTAACAAATAAAATTATTACAAAGCTACAATCGTCTTCAAATATGTTTTGACAATATGTATAAATTTACACATGACAAGGGACTAAATACTTTGCTATTGTGTCTATAGTATCTCTTGGTATGTGTACGATGTTAGTTGTTAAGGGGCAACAACTACCATTATATCTTCTGCTTTAAAACTTTAAACAGTAATACGCTTATTGTCGTGTATTTACAGTTGACTTAATCCATCCTCATTGGGGAATAAAATATAGTCAAAAGGTGTGTTATGTGAAATGAAGTTATAATTAGTAGGGCAATATTTCTCATTTCTCGTTAATTTCATTATATACACTTTAAAAAATCTAAGTGCCGTCAGCATCTATCAGAATTATGCATATTCATAGGATTAAACTAATGAAAATAAAATACCATTAACACATGATATTACTCGTTGTATAATACTTTTACCTCAACAGGTAAATTACAAATATTTGCTTGATGCTTTATTAAAAACAATAGTTTGATCTGATGTATAAGTAGGCTTTTTATACATGTAATTTTCATATGTTTTCAATTAGTTTTTATTTCCTTTTCATTACATTGTTTGGATCCTTGGAAAGCAGTTTTGAGTGGTTATATTTCCCACAGGAGGAGGTTTATTTTTTTATTTTATAATGATCAAATATGATATTTCAACCATACCTTTGTAGACAAAAGCTATACAAGGATATCAAATCGGCAACAAACTGGCAATTTGAACTGGATTTTGGGCAAAATATCGAAAAGAGGCTGTTGACGTTGAGATTGCAAAAATACAGTCGAAATTGTTCCGAATCTGCTTAATCATTAAAACCGGTCATGGAAATTGTCCGTCAGCAGTCGAAATCTGCATTGTGTTAAGCGAAATCATGATATTCAAAGCAAGTCCTTTAATACCAAATCAACTGTGACGTGTAAGCACCCTCAAGAAAGTGAAAATGCATGACCGGAAAATAGAAATATTCTCGCTTATCATACAGCATAGAAGTAGACCTTCCTGTTAGATAGGTAGTAAATATAGACTGAGGAAAGTGGCTGATTTAAAAAAAAGTCTGTGGTGTCATTCATTTCATTTTCTGTCAGGTATACACGATCGGCGTGGTCAATCAATGTCTTGTTATTTAAGCACAGCACATCGTCTATTTATTTGAAAATTAAAGTTAAAGGATTTGTCTAGGTTCTTGTTACCAGTCCGTGGTGTAACGTCTTCAATAATTCAACCTCATACTAACTCAAGTCCACCATTATATGGTCATATTTAATTACGATAAGAATGTTGCCAGTTGAAAAACAATGTCACTGCACTCAACAAAGACATTTTCATCTTGAATTTTATCCAGCCCTTGTCGTGTTTTTCAAAAAATTATATGCTCCAAATAAGTGCACGCCTGTCTTGGAAAAGAAACCTTTCATAATAAAATAACAAGAGATTGTTTATTTTTTGGTATGAGGTAAGGCAATGTAATGGGTGGAAGAATCAAATGATCTGATAAAAGAAGAATTCTTTGGAAAAGGATGCTTAAGAATGATCACAACATTTTCTGAGTTATGCAACACCCGCACACTATTAATTCCACTTTTGGAGTAAAAAGTGAATTACAAAACGACTGTAACCCTGATATAATGGTAACTAAGAATGGTAGTAAGAGGTTTCGAGGAAGAAACGTTCCATTTAAAGGTTGTTGTTATTTGTCAACGTTATTTCTGACAATTCAATAAATTGCTAATAAAAAGCCGAGTTCCTGGTTTTAACTTTCCTATCCTTTTTAACTTACTTTAACTCTATCGTTCTATTCATCCATGTTTTGTTATTTCACGTGGCGGTAATAATTTTAAATGGTTCGAATTTTGTAATTTATATATATGAACATTATTTAGTCCGCACCGATTAGAGATATGAAAGTGATCATTATACATTGCAATCAATTAATTAAGAAGTAGTCAATGCATATCGGGTTTTTTTTATCCTATGACTATTTTACACATGATAATCCAAATTGGTTTTCGATCTAAGGTATCTAGAACCATTCAGACTAGATTTTCTTGAACGGAAATAAATCGGAACACATTCTAAAAGCATATTAAGCACAAAATTATAATACTATCAATAAAAACTAAAATTAGACATATAAAATAGTAATGTGTAATAATTAAATTTCTCGGAAAGACAAAATTATTTGTGTGAATTTTCCAGACAATGTAAAATTACGTAATATATAAAAAGCGAACCAGATTAATTATTTGCACATTATGTGTTCATCAATAGATAATGATTGTATGAGGTTAAAGATGCATCTGATGCTGTAATACAGCCATGTTCTGGACAGTGACGTCACAGACAGGAGTGTGGATCTACTTTATATAGTCCTAACCAAGTATCCAATCCTTTCGACCATACATCTTTTCGAGAGAAATATAATAAAACAGAAAGCATTGTAACAATTTTATTATCAACAAAATATAAAATATAAAGACACATTTAATAAAAAAAACAAGTAAAAAGTACATCCTTTCGTATGTATCCAACAAAATCTAGGAATCTAATGTACATTATCATAAACATATATATAAATAATATCATAACATATCCGTGAACATGTTTAACGTGAATTGAATGTATTATGAGCTTTTACAAATGTGGCAAACTTTATACACCGTTAATGAACTTATATAAAACTTTAAAAAGCATCGTAATTTTTTCACTCTTTCTTGAGTTGAACACGGTACAAAACAAAACTGTACCTTATTAAACAAACCAACTTACGTCAATCAGAAATAGCTTAGTTTAACAACAGATGCAACAGTTTCAACACAATTTCGTTTTTCAACGATAATTATACACACATCATGTAAATGTTGATGATTCTATTCAACACAATATTTGTAAATAATAATTTTTGTACCTATCCTGATGCCAATATATCGCGCAGCAGATTCCATTGTCAGTTTACATAGCACCAGATTCAATGTTCAATAAATCATGGAATAATATCAGTGAATCACGTTCATTATCCAATTTGCAGTATATCACAGATATTAAAAGAGTATTGATGGTATCTTTCCATGTTAAGTCTAGAAACATTTCCTGTGAACAATTCCTGGTCCACATTCATCATATTCCTGTTTTGAGATCCACATCTGTTGGAATGTAGATAGAGATCCCAGGATAGATCCACCGATCCACACGGAATACTTTCTCTCCGGAGGTGCGATCACCTTAACTTTCATGTTGTTTGGTACGATTCCATCCAGTTCTTTCTTAAACCGGTCAGCCATACCTGAATCACAGGAAAGACAAATATTAACTTACTTATAAGATATAACTAAATATGCAGTGAAGTTGAATTAAGTTTTTGAAATATTGAATATTGCAGATGCTTTCTCTCAAATAAGAAAACTCCCATTGTTGTTATATACTTTGAAGTTAATGTAGTGTCACATACTGGACCCATTAAATACAATACCGTCGCCAAATATTCCACTTCCATATTAATAATACAAGAACTAGTAACGAAATGAAGATATCGTTAAATTTTGTTGTTGTTGATAGCAATGTAAATATTGTTACATACCTGGAAACATAGTACTTCCGCCGGACATGACGACATTGCTGTAGAGATCTCGTCGGATGTCGATATCACAAGCCATGACTGAGTTGTGTAGTTGTTCGTGAACTCCACTGGATTCCATTCCTGACAACAAAAGATCGTCAGGTAATAGTTGTTTGTTTAATCGATGAATTTGAAACCAACGAAGAATGCTTGATTTCGTTTCAATGATTCATATTAAACATAATAAAAAAAGCCGCTTACCTATTAACCCTGGTTGGAAGAGAACCTCTGGACACCGAAACCTTTCGTTGCCAATGGTGACAATTCCACCATCCGGTAGTTCATACGACTTCTCTACTGTAGAAGACGTTGATGCTGACGTCATTTCACTCTCAAAGTCGAGAGCGACGTAAGACATCTTCTCCTTCATATCTCGAACAATCTCCATTTCAGCTGCAATGACAAAATACACTTTTGTATGATAATCGCTTTAAATCTGTTTTGAAATTTGTTTTGCTTGTTATTTCGTATGATGTTTCAATTTTCGATAACACGTTAAATTCTTAATCATAGTAAATAATAATAATGTTGTAAAAGAAACAAAAAATATTGAAAATAATTCGAATGACTTACATGAGGTTGTGAAGTTGTATCCTCTCTCGTGGAGGATCCTTTGGAGGTAAGCTGTGAGGTCACGACCTGCCAGGTCAACACGTTTGATGGCGTGAGGGAGGGAGTAGCCCTCGTATATAGGTACAACGTGTGACACGCCATCCCCGGCATCAAACACGATGCCTGTGGTCCGTCCGGAGGCGTACAAAGACAGCACAGCCTGTATCGCCACGTAGAAGGCGGGCGTGTTAAATGTCTCAAACATGATCTACAAATGAAATGATTGAGAGTTATATGACAAAATGCAATGATTGAAAACAATATGATGTTAACATTTCCTTATTGAAAATATTACTGTTGAAAGATGCATACATCGTTTGGTTTCGTTTTATAATATTTTAACGCTGTGGTTTATTTATTTCTATTTTTTTCTATTTCTTTGTTTTCCCTTATTTACCTGTATCATTTTTGCTCTATTTTTCAATAATTTACCTGTATCATTTTTTCTCTGTTGGCCTTAGGATTTAGTGGCGCCTCTGTCAACATGACTGGGTGTTCCTCGGGAGCCACACGCAGCTCGTTATAGAAGGTGTGATGCCAGATCTTCTCCATGTCGTCCCAGTTGGTGACGATACCGTGTTCCACCGGGTAATTTAGAGACAGAATCCCACGTTTGTTTTGAGCCTCGTCTCCGACATAACACTCTTTGCCGCCCATACCAACCATAACCGCCTATTGAGTAATCAGATTTTTTCAAACGTAAAAGTAAAGAAAATCGTGTTTGTCAAACAATATAATTAAATAATATCGTACAGTGTATCAGCTAGAGAGTGTACGTATTTACATTAGGATGTAAATCTTAAATCAAAAAGGCATTTGATTGTTGTGTTATGAAAAGGAACATTTATCTGCTTGAGTCAGAAACATTTGCAAGCAAATTATGATCGTTATTCTACTGTTGTATGTTTTTATTATGAAATGTATAACGGTACATGTATGACCTAGATTACCACTCACATCATAACGAGGTCGTCCCGTAATGGCGGGGAAAACTGCACGTGGCGCATCATCTCCGGCAAAACCCGCCTTACACATTCCACTTCCGTTGTCAATGACAACAGCGGCGACATCCTCTTCAAATGTAGACATAATTCCTGGTATCTTATTATTCCAGACTTTTTTTTCTGTTATCCTACAATAGATAAAACTCACATTAGTTCTCTGAATAATTTACAATATTATGTATCGAGTCAGTCAGAAATGATTCGACTCTCTTATAAATAAATCGTATCGACGAGGATTTACATATCGATAAACTGGCATATGTGATTTAAGATTTAAAAATAGAAATTGATTTGATATTCATGTTATTTACGTGAAATAGAAAAATAACGACCACATTTGAAATTCAATTACAACTAAGAAATAAAACACGGTTGGAGCTCATATTAATGTAGTAAAAACAAACAACAGGAATAAAGGAAACAGAACAGGAAAAAATCATGAATGTTTTCTGTGATTGTGAAGCATATTACAGTCCGTCATCATTGTGAAACTAGCAATAACATCTACATTTATAAAATCTGAACAGGCGTGTAATAAAAGCTTCAAAAATATCATACACCTAATTCTGAACAACTCTCAGTACGGGTTGATAATTACATTACAGAAAACATGCACACAACTGTTTGATGGTAAAAACTACAACAACTCTTACCTTGCTTTTTTTGTCTCAGCTTTTCTCTGTGTGCCTTCTAGTAACGTTGCTATCCCTGTTGTTTAAAACTTGTCGCTCAATCGTCTCTGAAATAGAAGTGGTACTTCTGTGTCTTTCCTGTCGGATCTGTGGTCGATTCTGAATCCCGATGGTCTCACCGCGTACTATATAGTAGTGTATCGCTACTTCTGAGAAATCTGACCAACTTCTAATCTAGTTCGGTGAATAGTTTCCATATACGGTAGATAAACAATTAGTAATACTGTTGATTTATCTATTACTTGCTATCGACCTAATAACGACATAAACAGTATGACTAACCTGACCGACACACTACGGCCGACAGTCTAAAAATAGACATTATAGGGTGTATTCCGACTACAGGTAAGCACAGGTGAGACAATTGAACGTTCTATTTATAAAACGTCTATTTCTGTCTATAAGGAACATATGTACATCAGAATTGTTGATAATCTTTTAGTTCAATAAAGTTGCTACACACAAAGTTTAATTGGAGTTTTATTTATTTTTTAGCCTACTGAATATCCGTATACAAAATCGGTATCTCACATTTGTCCCTCATTTCCGTTCAGACACTTGTACCATCAATATTTTTTTCTGATAGTAAAACCCCTAAATAACATGAAAATACGCAATAGTGGTACCTTACATGTGCTCTTCATTTCAAAACAGATATGTTTTCATCACTATTTGAGTGGTTAAATATTGAAATAATTAATTCAGTGGAAAAAATATAAAATAAAAATACACCTGAGTCAGCTGATTTCGGGTGGTTTCCTAAAGTTTCCTGATTAAGAATGCTTTAACGGTGGTGGTATAACGTCCGTATCTATTAGCCTTGTTTTAAATGCAGGACCTGAATTAAATGCAGCTTGATTCACATCAGATAAATAATCTAAAATATTGTATTTAATTACGGAACCAAACCTGCAAAGTATCACAGACATACATACAGGTAGGTTTACAAATACCGTCACGGATGACATAACTCTGCCAGCGAAGCATACAAACATTAATATCTATCTACACTAATTTCGTTGTTAATGGGAAAAAAATCATTTAAATCGGAGTTAAGGAAACACATTTGTGAGATAGCTATGAATGAAATCAATTCAGTGTAGGATACTTCTGCTATAATAAAAAATATCTTTCATTCATATTGAGATACAGCTCGTAAACTATGTGTACTGTTATGATAATTGTTTTACCAAGAAACATGATATCTTACAAATTAATCTAAACCAATGGGAAGTTTTACACTACATTGAAAATTAATAAGGATAAGTCACTGATCATACAGAATAATTTATGATGTAATACCTAAAATCAACTCAACTCAATTAAAGCCAGATGAATAGCATTGGTATCACGATGAAGTATCCCGCAATCCATCGAGCTCGTTTAAACATACCTGTTATTTCTTTGAGAGAGCAGAATATACGATCTGGTAGCGTCTAGGGTAACCTATAGAAACTGTTTTGACAAAATGGCTAGTTTTGTGTTACTTATATTCTAGTAAATAAAGCTTTGCACACATTAAAAATATTTTCCCACTGAACTTAACAACTGAAAAACATCCGTCTCTCTGTCTCTCTCTCTCTCTCTCTCTCTCTCTCTCTCTCTCTCTCTCTCTCTCTCTCTCTCTCTCTCTCTCTCTCTCTCTCTCTCTCTCTCAGTTTTTTGTGGGGGAAGGGCAGCAATGAAATACATATAGATATTTAATTACAAACGTCAACTGTTTGGGAGAACAGAATTCAACACAGAACTAAAAAGTGAATATCAGAATAACTTATCGGTGGCAATGTTTTATATGTTTATCTGCATTCATTACAATGAAATATACCACCAGTTAGCTACTGTATCAGTCTGATACGGTAGCAACCGTATTTAGTTCAACAATTGTGTGTGTATACATGTTCCTTATAGACCGAAACAGAAGTTTTATAAATAGACCGTTCCATTGACTCACCTGTGCTTACCTGTCGTCGGAATACACCCAATCGTGTATAATGTCTATTTTTAGACTGTCGGCCGTAGTGTGTTAGTCAGGTGAGTCATATACTGTTTATGTTTCATAAGTCGATGGTAATATCTACATATAGATTATTCAACAGTATTACTAATTGTTTATCTACCTTATATGGAATATTCACCGAACTAGATTAAAGTTCGTTAGATTTCTCAGAAGTAACGATACACTACTATATAGTACGCTATGAGACCATGGGGACTCAGAATCAGCCACAGATCCGACAGGACACACAAAAAACTCCTATTCCAGAGAGGTCAGAGCGACAAGATTTAAACAACAGTTATAGCAACATTACTAGAAAGCAAACGAAGAGAAAAGTTGATATAAAGAAAAAGCAGGGTAAGAACTGATGTATGTTTTCAACGTTATTACCAGTCTATTATCGAAGTATGTTCAAAAATCCATATACAATATCGATTAAGCCATCACGAAAGCTTTCTTTTATTAATATTACAGAACTTTGTTATAACAATACAACTTCTTTTTGGTAACAATGACGAAGAGAACTGTTTCGACTGTTTTGTTTTCCTTGTCGGTATTGAGTTCCGGGGGTGAGGATTTTCCTCTATTTTTTGCATTTAACGTAAACCATTCAATAAAGCATATGTTTTTTCTCAAAAAAAACAGGTTCAAATTGTAGATACTTGTCCATCAGCTTTAATCATACAATCTTTGCTCAAATTTTACTGTCAGACGTGATATAATATTTTAGATCATTCGCCGAACTAATATGTTCATTTCTTTATTTAAGGATAATAAAGAACATTTGGAATACTACAATACCAGAGAGTATGTCTACATATGAAGAAGAGATCGCCGCTGTTGTCATTGACAACGGAAGTGGAATGTGTAAGGCGGGATTTGCCGGAGATGATGCGCCACGTGCAGTTTTCCCCGCCATTACAGGACGACCTCGTTATGATGTGAGTGGTTAACTAAAATCTACCATTATATACAAAATAACATGTTATAACAAACCGCAGAGTTAAATATCCAGTATAATTTGTTTGCAAATATTTCGGCCTCTTCCAAAGTTCCTCTTCATTACACAGCAATAAAGTGCAATATTGTTTCTAGATCTACATCAGACAAAATATCAGTTTTAAGGAAATGTGTGTTGATATTTTAATGTACACTCCCTTCATGTGCCATGTACGATTTTTCTTTAATTATATGTTTAACAAATACAAATATTGTTTCCTCAACAGTTGGTCATGGCTGGTATGGGTGGAAAAGACTGTTATGTCGGAGACGAGGCTCAGAACAAACGTGGAATTCTGTCTCTAAAGTATCCGGTGGAACACGGCATCGTCACAAACTGGGACGACATGGAGAAGATCTGGCACCACACTTTCTACAACGAGCTCCGTGTGGCTCCCGAAGAACATCCGGTCATGTTGACAGAGGCGCCACTAAATCCTAAGGCCAACAGAGAAAAAATGATACAGGTACATATTTGAATAAATAGAAATATATTTTTTACCAAAAACGAAAATGAAAAACAAAACGAAACGGAATGATGTATGTATCTGACAGAAGTCATATTTCCATCAAAGACAGGAAATCCATCTTTTATATTGCTCTCAATCATATCTTTTGTAGATTATGTTCGAGACATTTAACACGCCCGCCTTCTACGTGGCGATACAGGCTGTGCTGTCTCTGTACGCCTCCGGACGGACCACGGGGATCGTGTTTGATGCCGGAGATGGCGTGTCACACGTGGTACCTATCTACGAGGGCTACGCCCTCCCTCACGCCATCAAACGCGTGGACCTGGCAGGCCGTGACCTTACAGCATACCTCCAAAGGATCCTACGCGAGAGAGGTTACAACTTCAAAACTTCTTGTAAGTCAGAATTTAATTAATAATTAATATTTTCAATTATTGACATATTCAAGCAAAAGAAATTGTCTTCCGTTATCAAAACACTATCGGGCCTTCATTTAAGGATTCGATTTTACGGAAATGATTTTCCATTGCAGCTGAAATGGAGATTGTCCGTGATATGAAGGAGAAGATGTCCTACGTGGCTCTCGACTTTGAGAGTGAAATGACGTCAGCATCAACGTCTTCTACAGTAGAGAAGTCGTATGAACTACCGGATGGTGGAATTGTCACCATTGGCAACGAACGATTTCGGTGTCCGGAAGTTCTTTTCCAACCAGGGTTTATAGGTAAGCAACTATTTGGTTTTCATTGTTATTTTTAATATGAATTATTTAAGCGAGTGTAAGGCCCTTTGATTTTGAATTCATCGATTAAACAAACAGCCATTACCTATCCATCTTTTTTTGTCAGGAATGGAATCTAATGGAGTCCACGAGCTACTGCACAACTCAGTCATGGCTTGTGATATTGACATCCGACGGGATCTCTACAGCAATGTCGTCATGTCTGGCGGAAGTACTATGTTTCCAGGTATGTGACAATATGTACATTGCTATTAACAAGAAAAAAAAATTAACGATGAATTCATTTCGTTCCTACTTCTATCCTTATTCATTAGGAAGTGAAGGATGTACTTAAGGTATTATATTTGATGGGTTCAGTATGTGACACTTTATTGACCTCAATGTATTTTACAACAAAGACTATTTATTTGATAAGAGAAAGAAGCTGCAATGTTCAATTTTTCAGAAACTTAATTCAACTTCACTGCATATTTAGTTATATCTTGTCAGTAAGATAATATGTCTTTCCTGTGGTTCAGGTATGGCTGACCGGTTTAAGAAAGAACTGGATGGAATCGTACCAAGCAACATGAAAGTTAAGGTGATCGCACCTCCGGAAAGAAAGTATTCCGTGTGGATTGGTGGATCTATCCTGGGATCTCTATCTACATTCCAACAGATGTGGATCTCAAAACAGGAATATGATGAATGTGGACCAGGAATTGTTCACAGGAAGTGTTTCTAGACTTGACTTGGAGATGGCGATTAAGATGATATCAACGTGTCTTGTATATCAGTGATATTCTGACAATGGAATCTTGCCCGTGATAATGCTGACAATAGTGTCTGGTTCCTGATATTCTGACAATGGAATGTAGTCCCTGATACTCTGACAAAGTAACGTAGTACCTGATAGTCCTTCAATGGAATATTGTTCCTGATATTCTGACAATGGAATGTAGTCCCTACTAGACTGAACATGGGGTCTAGTCCGTAACTTACCGAAGGTAAAATATGGTCTAAGATAAACTGGCAATGAAATCGGGACCAAAATGTACCTTGTCAGGGACGGCCTCTGGCGATTTATATTTTGTTTGGTTTACCATTGAAACGTAATCTTAAATCTTCTGAGGTGCCAGTATGTAAAGTGTTTTTTTATCTCGTGTAAGATATGGATGTTAGATCGTTTTAAGGATTGGTTCTCACTCAATTGCGACAGTATTGCAATATTTATCAGATATAAAGTGTTACTGTTGTTACAGAACTTTTGAAATTGCTTAGCAACTAATTTAGGTTCATAAATGTGAATGTATTTAGTCTTAACTTCTGTCACTTTCCGTGCCATTTCTACTGCTCATTCGATTAACATCACATAATAAACGTTTAGTTGCAGATTTATAAATAGACTGTTAAAACGGAGACCAGTATAAGTTATAGATCAACCTTTTGCATCTCGATAACTTACATATCATCGGAACAGGCATTTGAAGTAGACTGAAATGCATTGTGATTGTGTCCTAAGATTATATTCTCCGTGAACTATAAATTTGTTTAAACGCATTTCAACATTTTAAGCATGTCAATAATGCTTACAATTAATAGAAAGTTGGACTATATATTTAGTATTTATGATAATCATTATTATTTAATATTGATTGTTCCTTTTATTAGAATTGTTTATTCACAAACAGCTTGATTCACATCACATCCATATTCGACTATATTCACTGACATTGATATGTTAGGATGTATGTCAATGTTCCATATTTCGTATGCGTGAATCGTTTAATCATACGTACCTCATACTTGAAATTATTTTGTGATTATAAAGTTCATTTTTATACTACATACTCATATGCTATTGATGATTTATTTATTTATTTTTAAATGTTTTGTTGATATGTTTTTTAAGTGTATATCTAAAGTCATGGTGTATAATATTTATAATGACACACAGGTATATAATTTGTTGATAATAAAGTTATTACATTTATTACTGAGTGTGTGATGATTTTTTTTTCTAGTATCGCACGGAAAAACTTTAATTTGGGGCATGGCATGATGAACAAGTTGTTTTTGAATTGCATCCAGGTGTATTCCTGCCCGACATTGTACTAGGAAAGAAACTGTCGAAGTATGCATTAACGTTGGCGTCGGACATGAAGAGTCATAGCCTCCCTGCTTATTACGTAAAGTTAAAACAATTTCAAACAGATAGTTTGCACAAACATGGTTAATTATTAAAAAAAGAGCATATGCTGCCGATCCTTTTTACGTTATTTAAGAGTGTTCCATCCAATTTCATTATAAATGATTTCATGACTAGTACCTCCTCGGAGACCAGTAACTATTCTAGCAGCATCTAGCTGGATAGATCCATGGATACCTCATTCAGTCATCATCAGTCCCCGTAATATAATGAAATGTAACACATTGTACGTTCACCATTGAAGTTTAGAATGCCGTTCTAAGCGTTAAAAATAAGTTTACGTACCAAATCTTTTACTCTTGATAGGTCTTTACTGGTACAGATGTGATGATAGACTTCGTTAAAGCTAGTGAACCATATATAAGGGTATTTTAAATCTAATAAATATTCGAAATATGTCGTGGTTTTTAAGATACGATTCATTTTACAGTGATCGATTTTTGAAGTTTGTCTTTTTTTTTTTTTTTTAATTGAAGAAGAAAAATAACTCGGCTGCTATTTCATGTGTGACAGATTTCTATCTGTTCGGTGGGAATCGGATTGTACGGACCAGCAATTGTGTCTACCTCTGTGCTATACCATGTTTACTAAGAATGTAATGATGACCTTATGTTTGTGTTTGACTACCTTCTAGACTAATCTCGCACACAATTCATACACATATCATAATGTTGATATGCATTTTGAGTATCGAAATATTATCGTAAGACAGCGAAAATGTGCAGTCATCATCACGACCTTTTTACTTGTTATGCGGTCTTCTCGATTCTTGTTTCCTGTTGTTTAGATGTCTCCTCAGTCCCTGCTGATGTATTCTTGTCGTTCTGATGTCTCCTCAGTCCCTGTTGAGGTCTTTTCTGCTGTTCTGATGTCTCCACGCTCCGTGCTGATGTCTTTCCTGCTGTTCTGATGTCTCCACGGTCCCTGTTGATGTCTTTAATGTTGTTTTTATGTCTCCTCAGTCCCTGTTGATGTCTATCCTGTTGTGCTGATGTCTCCTCAGTCCCTGTTGATGTCTTTAATGTTGTGCTGATGTCTCCTCAGTCCCTGTTGATGTTTATCCTGTTGTGCTGATGTCTCCTCAGTCCCTGTTGATATCTTTCATGTTGTTTTTATGTCTCCTCAGTCTCTGTTGATATCTTTCCTGTTGTTCTGATGTATTTTCAGTTCCCATTATTGTCTTGTCGTCATTGATTTCTAACTCAATCTCCACGACAGGAGTGTTATATCTGGTATATCTTTTCAATTTTTTCGTTAATTTTTGAATGAAAGTAGATATTTATTTAGCTTGTTAGACCCAACCCTTTAAGAAAAACTCATACTGTCTGTTCTTCAAGTTTAAGTCTGTTTTAGGCCTTTTTTGGCATTAAAACTTCTCACAATATTTCATAGGACATGTCCACTATTTCTATCGTATGAGATGCAGTAGGTACAATGAAAGGATGGATTGGCGTTTCCGTAGAACGTAAAAGATGAATTAAATTAAATGGTAAAATAATATCACCGCTAATGTGAAAAATACCCATGCATATACAGCGTAGTAATACCTTTAATGATACATTAACATAGAACTGAACCAGAAATATTATCACGATTATTTAAATTGTAAACAAAACATACAACTCGTCGGGAAACTATACCATTATTTTGGTACTTCCAACTAACATTCACAACTATACCCATATTTTGGTATTTATATTTAAATACATATGTTAATTTTAAAATTTGACTTCACGTATCATTATGTTCACAAACTTGATACAACAGGATTTTGTACTTAATTAGAAAAAAAGTTATAAATATATCCGATAAAATGAATCAAAATGGATAGTAATCCTATTATGAAGAAAGTAAATAGGGTTTTCAGTTTTGATTTCCTCTGTGTACTATGTACAAAAGTAAATACAATACACAGTTATTACCAAATAGACCGAGGCATTCTGATAACAAATGAACAATCATTTATTATTAAAATTACCTTTTTAATAGTCACTTTAAATACCAGGTACATGAAATAATTCAGTAACATAAAGCGACAAGGTGCTGAAGGCAAAATATTCATAAATTTAAGTATTGATGTTTTGAGATTTAAAGAAAAAGATAATTTTGTGTGTTTTTAATTTTGTAATATTGATCCAATAATAGTGATTGTTTAGCTTGTTCACCTTTAGGCGGGAGTACAGGTGAAAGGGCATGATCGATGTCCTCATTTGATACGTACTTATATTAAATAGTAGCGGTAATGTGTGTAGTGTACCCATGACGACCGACACTAAATCCGGTTACATATATTACAGACATGTAGTATTGCCTGATCAGTTAGGAACTCACATTTCTATTAGATAACACGTTACAACATGGGAGTTAATACAAGTTACTGTGAAGCAGGGAAAGGGAGTTTGTCATTTCTTATTTATGTGCTTTTCAATCTTTACAAAGGTAAGTCCTGGTATATTCAAGATATTAAAACCATGTTAAACAACAACACTTAATTAAAGAAGCTGTATTATATTCTGTATAAATGGACCAAATCATTTTAAATACTTTATTAAGGTCGCTCACGAAACCGGCAGTCAAATTATAAAAAAATCGATATCTTTATTTTAAAATTCTTATTAAAAAAAATATATATTGCGCCATGATTTAGGTGAATTAATGGATAAAACATTGAAAGTAAGTCCCTTGTCACATCAGATAATGATAAAAACAGTACATTTTATATAAAATGTTACATTGTGCCTTCGTTTCTGTTTGAATGTACATGTATGTGGTAAACATGCAGGATATATTGTTCTCTTAACAAATAAAAGCATGAAGTAGTAGCATTTTTATGAAGTGTGTGATCAGGTGATTTATTATTTCATAAGGAAGACAAAACATTTGTTGTACTCTGATATTACACTGAACCAAAGTATTTTAGCCGGTATGTGAACACATAAAGAGGTAACCAGGTTATGTTTCGACACATGGAGGTATTACCATGGTAACTGTCTTTAAAAAATGGAGTTACCAAGGTTTCTGTGTATACATACCGGGTTGTCATGGTAACTGTGGCCACATACCTTGGTTACCAGCCAGGGTAGCTGTGGAAAAATTCCGTGGTTACCATTGTATCTGTTTATACAAACAGATAGTGACAGATATCGTGATTGACAGGATAACTATGGACACCTACTCAGTTAACGTGATAACTATGGACACTAACTCAGGTTAACGTGATAACTATGGACACTAACTCAGGTTAACAGAATAGCTATGAACATTTACTCAGGTTAGCAGGATAACTAAGGACATTACTCAGGTTAACATTTAAACAATGGCCACATACTCAGGTTAACAGGACAACTATGGACACTAACTCAGGTTAACGTGATAACTATGGACACTAACTCAGGTTAACAGAATAGCTATGGACATTTACTCAGGTTAGCAGGATAACTATGGACATTACTCAGGTTAACATTTAAACAATGGACACATACTCATGTTAACAGGACAACTATGGACACTAACTCAGGTAACAGATTAGCTATGGACATTTACTCAGATTAACAGGATATAACTAAGGACATTTACTCAGGTTAACAGGATAACTATAAACAATTAACATGAAACATAAGGACATGTACCATTCGGGGTTACCATTGTATTTGTGTATACACACCGGTGACATATACTGTAGTTAACATGAAAACTACGGACACTTACACGGGTTAACTGGATAACTAAAGAAGCTTACTCAGGTTAACAGGAAATGTATGGACTCATACCGAACGGCGTTACCATGGTATATGTAGACACATAACGACCGGCGTAACCATGGTATCTATGCATACCTACTAGGTTGCTAGGCATTCTTATGACATATTTAAAACGGTATGCGTGTGTTGTCAGTAAATTGGTGTACAAGCCTTATACAAAGACAAAAATGTAGAAAAAAGACACGACATGTAAAGGGAACACACTAAGAGAAACCGAGAAAGAGTCAGAAATATAGAAAGTGTGAGAGACATAAGCAGAGAGAGACAAGAATACAGAAAGTGTGAGAAACATAAACAGAGAGTCAGAAATATAGAAAGTGTGAGATACACAAGCAGAGAGGGTCAGCAATATAGAAAGTGTGAGAGACATAAATAGAGAGAGACATGAATGCAAAAAGTGTGAGAGACATAAACAGAGTGATTTACAGTTTTAGAGTCCAATATCCGGGTACATTTGCATATGTATATGTAATTTAGTCTGCTGAAAATATTGTAATTTTGACAATGGCTTTGTTTGCTCTTACACAGTTGTTAAATTAATTCTGTAGTTCAGTATGCAGAATTTATTATATTTTGTTTATTGGTTGTTTCGCCACACCAGGAGTTAACACCAAGGAATACTGCCAGACACCGGATGGAGTCAAGGAGTGTGCGACCGGATGTTGTGGTGATCATTGGAAAAACAATGTTTCCTGCTGTCCATTCCAGTAAGTATCCTTGGTCAACGTGATGTACATAATCGATTTTTAAATCAACAATTTAATTGACATCAACCAATAAATCAATGAACTATTGTAATGTCTCACCTTAGTGACAGGTTGTGTCTAACCTTAGTGACAGGATGTGTCGAACCTTAGTGACAAGTTGTGTCGAACCTTAGTGACAGGTTGTGTCTAACCTTAGTGACAGGTTGTGTCGATTCGATTCCTGTAACGATGAAAATACAATAACAAAGGAAACGGCATTTTCACACTTCTGGTGGACCATAGGTACTCGAGGGCACCATAATGACATTTTATTTTTTGTACGTTTTGCCCAGCTTCTAAATTATCATAATATAATTGTTAAGAAGCTCCTCCTTCAACAACTTTTTTAAAGCTGTAATTAACTTATACCGCTAAGTTTAAAGCCTTGTGACTTTCATTCGGGATGTAATTAATATGGTCTTGTTGGAATGTTTCTGATTGTGCGGTGTTCAAATGTCGCAACTGATAATTATCTTTAAAGAGTTTGCTTAATTTTGATTATACTGGCTATGTTCTTCTTTTTTCAGTTCTGTGGTGATAATTGTAATTGCTTATGTCATGTTTTGTAAATGTTTGTGGACTTCATCGAAGTTGTACTGAACAAATGCATGGTTTTGTTTACAGCCCTGTGGCCTTCATCATGATTGTACTGGGTATAGCGCTGGCCATCGTCTTCATCGCTTACTGTATTGTTCACTCAATGAAGAGACGGAACAGGAGAAAAACTGTCATCAAGCCGCAAGTATCTACCGATACAAAACAGTTGTCGTCCGTCTCTTATGGTAGGGTCGAATTTATTTCTCTGTTTCTGTCCTTATTTGACGTTTCTTTGTTATTTATTTCAAAAAATGACAAAAGAGTTTCTTATAACTTCCCTAGTTTCTATGGAAACTTTTTTAAACACGTCAACACATCATCAAATAAATGCATTACGGTATTCTGACAGGTAAAACGGGTATACCTGTGACGTCAGGAAAGGAAACAATGTAATGATATCGTATTATCATCTGACAAGAGCTGATACATCTATATTTTGATCTTGTCTGATAAAATCAAATATTGCTGCATGATTAAACAGGTGAACTATTATCAAGTAAAGCCTGCATTGCAGATCAAATTATGTCACGAAGGACTCCGATTCTGATATGTTCTGAAAAAAGTCAATTTAGATCTACCAGTAATGTTAAATTCAGCACGAGTTCCGACTGGTTTACATTATTCAAAAAATAATTGATTATCATGAATTGAATTTACTGAATGATTTATGACTTGTGAGATAGATGAGTCGACCTGATTGCGATTTAAATTTGTGAATATTGAACGAGTCTGCATAATGTAAAGTAATCTAAGATTTACACAATACGCTAAAAATGTGAACTTTATGGAAGCTTATTTCGACGGGCTCACGTACATGAAATCATAATGTAGTAGCATCCGTGCCTGTATGACTAGTAATTAACAGACCGTAATCATTATCTGGTATGTAACAGGCTTATATTTGTAGTTGTATCAATATTGTAAAAGTCTCAGATTATATAAAAACGCCCGGCTGTACATCTCTAATTGTCTGATATGATATTGCAGTCCTTGTGGCCCCTGGTGTTCTAGAGAAGTACCCATCCAACCGCCCACCTTCATACTTAAACGGACAGGAATGGAAGATATACAACACCGACGTTCCTCCGACCTAAACAGATAATCCAAAGTACCTTCCACGATGGCGTTCTTTCCGTCCCACTCACTGTGGTTCCGCTACAGACACTCTAAAAGACATACATTACCTCCATATGTTCTCTGCACCCCTGGACTATGTCATAGCAAAAATGAAGGCAAAAAGATAGCTGTTTGATTGGTCTCGGACCCTGACCATTAGACAGGCTGATACTTGTCCTTTGAATATAACAGAGGAGCGACACCCAACTTAAAAGCCAGGCAAATTTTACCGTTACGCGACCGCGAGATTCTTTTCATTACGTCAAACTCGTCTCATCAAGGTGGCGCACACTGAACCATCAATTTTGCTATGACATATTCCAGGGATGTAGAGAGCGTAAGTGAGCGTAACCCCTGAAGTATCGAGGATGTTTTTGTAAGCACTTCCCGGTCATATTTAATTTGTGAATTATGCAGTGTGTGATTCCAGCGTTCAGTGTATCTATACATTTGCAATATGTTTGTACATACAACAAATAATTAATAACACTTATATAGTTTCCCTTTTTTGTCATATTTTCTTTTGTTTAGGTCATATTTTTCACAATGTCTCCCTTTGTTTACATGTAACTTACTGATATATGTATAACCCTGACGATTCTCACGCACTCTGACGTTTGTTTATTTATGATAGGGAAATTGATTTCATATTTGGCTAAGATAGTACAGAGATAAACAGTCACAATGAAACAGCGTGTTTACACGAACAACTACAGCACAGATTTTTTCACTAGATATATTCAGATATTTTGTATTAATTCACTTGACCTAACGTATTCAATTTCGTACACAGTTTACCTTCGGTTACAAGCTAACCGAGGGGATATGCGATTACAACAGCATATTTTATATAAGTGACTACTGATTTTTTGTTTATGTATGTTTGTTGTATTATTGTTTCATAGTGACTGTTTATCTCTGTTATATGTTGTGATATGTAAATATTCATCTTTCTGTCTTGAAAAAGAGGTGGATTACCCTACCAAAAATACAATTTTCTTTGTCTGCACTGTCGTTATAACTTCTTTGCCCTTATTTTTATTTAGGTAACATGCGTCCAACCAACTTTTTTGGACGGAAATTGGATCATACTGTCGTTGTTACTTATGAGACGTATATAATATATATAGATATATATATTGTACATGAAAAGTTTTAAACCATTTAGTATATTATGTTGTTGATTGTTTGATATATATTAATATGATATCTCATCACAGTGAATAAAAACAACATCAAACTGCCTTTTTTCGTTTGCAATGATGATCAGTTTGTTTCAAAGCTTTTAAATAATCTCCCAAAAGACATATCAAAATTACACGGCAGAATATTTAATAGCACAATTGCCTGCATATTAAAATCTAAATTAAAGTTTGAGATGCTACTATGTCTGTGTACGTGATAATAGCCGTTTCCCCTCAGATACAGCAGTTGACCTGACCCAATGTGTATACATTGTGTAGTTTGGACCAAATGCACTTTGCATTTTAGGGTTGAGGCTAATATTGCTATTTTCTTTGGCCACCTCGTATTAACTGTAATCCTAAAAGTAGACTAAAATACAACTACAGGCAGAATATCAGTATTTGATTCATAAGAAACTATTAAAAGATTTAAATGTCTGACGCCTGTGACCTTTGTCAAAGAAGGACATTAGGTTGAACAGAGTTTATAGTCTTCCAACCCAGCATGCTTCTGGCAAAATATCATTACCCTGGACCTTTTGGCTATACAGAACAAATCATTTAAATATTTAAACATATATTGCCCACTATGACCTTAAATATGGGCGAAGGTCATTCATTTGAACAAACTTGATAGTCATTCATCCCAGCCTGCTAATGGCCAAATATCATCACCCTTGGCCGTTTGCTTATTGAGAAGAAGTCGTTTACAGGGTTGAAACATATTTCACCCCTGTGACATTGAATATATGTCAAGGTCATTCGTTTGAACAACCTTGGTAGCCCTTCATCCCAGGATGTTACTGGCGAAATATCAATATCCTAAGCCTCTTGGTTATTCAGAAGAAGTTGTTCATAGGTTTCAAACATATTTGACCCCTTTGACCTTGAATATAAGTCAAGGTCATTCGTTTGAACAAACTTGGTAGCCCTTCATCCCAGGATGCTACTGGCCAAATATCATCCCCCTAGGTCTCTTTGTTATTCAGAAGAAGCTGTTAAAAGATTTCAACATATTTGACCCCTGTGATCTTGAAATTGAATAAAGGTCATTCATTTGGACAAACTCTGTAGTCCTTTATTCCAGCATGCTACTGGCAAAATATCTTCATCCTAGGCCTTTTGGTTATTCAGAAGAAGTTTCAATAAAAAAAATTAACATATTTGACCCCTGTGACCTTGAATATAAGTAAAGGTCATTCATTTGAACAAACTTGGTAGCCCTTCCTCCCAGCATGTGACTGGCCAGATATCATCATCCTAGGCCTCTTGGTTATTCAGAAGAAGTTATTTTAAAGGTTTTGAACCTATTTGACCCCAGTGACATTGAATATAAGTAAAGGTCATTTATTTGAACAAACTTGGTAGCCCTTCATCTCAGCATGCTACTGGCCAAATATCATCACCCTAGATCTGTTGGTTATTCAGAAGAAGTCATTAAAAGATTGTAACGTATTTGACCCTTGGGACCTTGAATATAAGTCAATGTCATTCATTTGAACATACTTGGTAGCCCTTCATACCAGTATATTACTGACAAAACATCATCACCCTAGGCCTCTTGGTTATTCAGAAGAAGTCGTTAAAAGATTTTAACATATTTGATTCCTGTGACCTTGAAAATAGATGAAGGTCATTCATTTGAAAAAACTTGGTAGCCCTTTATCCCAGCATATTACTGGCCAAATAGCATCACCCTATGTCTTTTGGTTATTCAGAAGAAGTTGTTTTAAAGGTTTTTAACATATTCGACCCCTGTGACCTTGAATATAAGTCAAGGTCATTCATTTGAACAAACTTAGTAGCCCCTCATCCCAGCATGCAACAGGCCTAATACCAGTACTCTGGGCCTTTTTCTTATTGAGAAGAAGTCGTTTAAAGATTTTAAGACATTTGACCCAATTGACCTTGAAAGTAGGTCAATGTCATTCATTTGAACAAAATTAATAGCCCTTCATCACAGCATGCTGCTGGCCAAATATCATCACCCTGGGCATTTTGGTTATTCAGAAAAAGTTGTTTAAAGTTTTTTTTAAACATATTTGATCCCTGAGACCTTGAATATGGGTCAAGGTCATTTATTTGAACAAACTTAGTAGCCCATTATTCCAGTTTGCTTCTGGCCAAATATCATCACCCTGGTCCTTTTGTTTATTCAGAGGAAGTTGTTTAAAGTAAAATATTGACGCCGCACCACGGCATTAGCTCACTTGCCCTTCGGGCAGGTGATCTAAAAACACTCACGCCATAGAACCGGATATACAAGTCATTAATTAGGTTAGGGGTAGAACTTCTGAAAACCTTTCTTCTTTTTTTTAGATTATTTTACCACAGTATCTGTATGAATGTGTTTACCGATTTAAAGGTAAAAATAAAATCTTAATTTAAATAATGACTTTGTGAAAATTCGCTTCCTGTTACGATGAAAATATAAAATCATAATAGAACACAACAAAATTAAAGGAAACGGCAAATCCATCTGGTATTTTCACGCTTCTGGTGGACCATAGGTACTCGAGGGCACCATAATTCCATTTTATTTTTTGAACGTTTTGGGCAGCTTCTAAATTATTATAATCTTATTGTTGATAAAGCTCCTCATTCAACAACTTTGTTAAAGCTGTAATTAACTTATACCGCTAAGTTTCAAGCCTTGTGACTTTCATTCGGGATGTAACAGTGGCGGATCCAGAGACCTATCTGGGGGGGTCGGGGTGTCCAAATTTCCTGGGGGGGTTTCCATGTTCCTGAAGCCCAAACAAAACTTCTGGATCCGCCACTGTGTAATTATTATGGTCTCGTTAACTTGTATTGTTTCTGATCTTGCGGTGTTCAAATGTCGCAACTGATAATTATTTAAGAGTTTGCTTCATCATTATTATACTGGCTATGTTCTTCTCTTTTCAGTTCTGTGGTGATAATTGTAATTGCTTATGTCATGTTTTGTAAATGTTTGTGGACTTCATCGAAGTTGTACTGAACAAATGTATGGTTTTGTTTACAGCCCTGCGGCATTCATCATTCATATGATTATCAGGGTATAGCGTTGGCCATCGTCTTCATCGCTAACTGTATCGTTATCTCAATGAAGAGATGGAACAGGAGAAAAACTGTCATCAAGTGTCTACCGATACAAAACAGGTGTCGTCCGTCTCATATGGTATCTTTGTTATATATATATAAGAAATGACAAAAGTGTTTATTATTACTTCAGGAGGCACGTTGTCCAGTGGTAGGACGCCTGGCTTGTGACCGAAAGGGTTGCAGGTTCGCGCCACGGCAAGGTCAGGTGTTGTATCCTTTACTCCGCTTGTTCCAGTCTATTCAGCTGTAAATGCTAGCTGTTAGCGCCGAAATAGCAGCTCCGGCTGTATGCTCCCCGGGGAGTTGAGAAAGGTATTGGCTGGTTGCAAAGGCCCTATAACCACAGATAATAATTTGTGAACCGCTTTGAGACGACCTACGAACTAGGTTGTGATAAAGCGGTTGATAAGAACCTCGAATTATAATTATTAAATAATTACTTCCTTAGTTTCTTTGGAAACTTTTCGAAGACGTAAACACATCATCAAATAAATACATTACGGTATTCTGACAGGTAAAACGGGTATAACTGTGACGTCAGGAAAGGAAACAATGTAATGATATCGTATTATCTTCTTACTTTACCTTTAATGCAGGAAGTCCTCATTAGATACGTACAGTTGACTTATATTTACCCATGACGACCGGCACTAAATCCGGTTACTTAATTACAGACATGTAGTATTGCATGATCAGTTAGGAACTCCCATTTCTATTAGATAACAAGTTACGACATGGGAGTTAATACAAGTTACTGTAAAGCAGGGAAAGGGAGTTTGTCATTTCTTATTTATGTGCTTTTCAATCATTACCAAGGTAAGTACTTGTGTATGCAAGACATTAAAACAATACTAACAACAACACGTTATTATAGGAGCTGTATTATATTCTATATAATCGGACCAAATCATTTCAAATACGTTATTAGGGTCACTAAGGAAACTGGCAGTCAAAATATTAAAAAAAAAGGTATCTACATTTTAAAATTCTTATTAAAATAAATTTATGTTAGCTGTTAGCGCCGAAATAGCAGCTCCGGCTGTATGCTCCCGGGGAGTTGAGAAAGGTATTAGCTGGTTGCAAAGGCCCTATAACCACAGATAATAATTTGTGAATCGCTTTGAGATGACCTACGAACTAGGTTATGATAAAGCGGTTGATAAGAACCTCGAATTATAATTATAAATTAATAACTTCTCTAGTTTCTCTGGAAACTTTTCGAAGACGTAAACACATCATCAAATAAATACATTACGGTATTCTGACAGGTAAAACGGGTATAACTGTGACGTCAGGAAAGGAAACAATGTTATGATTTCGTATTATCTTCTTACTTTACCTTTAATGCAGGAAGTCCTCATTAGATACGTACAGTTGACTTATATTTACCCATGACGACCGGCACTAAATCCGGTTACTTAATTACAGACATGTAGTATTGCATGATCAGCTAGGAACTCCCATTTCTATTAGATAACAAGTTACGACATGGGAGTTAATACAAGTTACTGTGAAGCAGGGAAAGGGAGTTTGTCATTTCTTATTTATGTGCTTTTCAATCTTTACCAAGGTAAGTACTTGTGTATGCAAGACATTAAAACAATACTAACAACAACACGTTATTATAGGAGCTGTATTATATTCTCTATAATCGGACCAAATCATTTTAAATACGTTATTAAGTTCACTAAGGAAACTGGCAGTCAAAATATTAAAAAAAGGGTATCTACATTTTAAAGTTCTTATTAAAATAAATTTATGTTGCGCCATGATTTAGGTGAATTAATGGATAAAACATTGAAAGTAAGTCCCTTGTCACATCAGATAATGATAAAAACAGTACATGTCAAATAAAATGTTACATTGTGCCTTCGTTTCTGTTTAAATGTACATGTATGTGGTAAACATGCAGAATATATTGTTCTCTTAACAAATTAAAGCATGAAGTAGTAGCATTTTTATGAAGTATATGAACACGTGATTTATTTCTTCGTAATGAAGACAAAACATTTGTCGCAATCTGATATTAAACTGAACCAAAGAATTCTAGACGGTATTCGGACACATACCGGGATAACGTGGTTATGTGTAGGGCACATGGAGGTATTACCATAGCAACTGTGTATACAAAGTGGGGTAACCATGGTTTATGTGTATACACAGTGGGGTAAGTATGGTATCAGTGTATATGTGGACAGATACCGTTGTTAACATGATAACTATGGACACATACTCAGGTAAACAGGATAACTATGGACACATACTCAGGTTAACAGGATAATTATGGACACATACTCAGGTAAACAGGATAACTATGGACACATGCTCATGTCAACAGGATAAATATGGACACATATACTCAGGTTAACAGGATGATTGGACACATATCGGCTGACGTCACCATCATATCTATGCATACATACGAGGTAGTCAGTGTTTCATGTGTCACATTTAAAATAGTTTATTGTCGGTTAATTGTTCTTTCGGCCTGATACAAAGACAAAGTTGTAGAAAAAAGACACGGCGTGGAAAGAGAAACAAGAAAAGGAAACAAAGAGAGACAGAAATGTAGAAAGTGTGAGGCACATAAATACATTGATTTACAGATTTAGAATCAAACATCGGGGTACATTTTCAAATGTATTTAATACAGTCCTAATTGATCCACTAAACAATTAAGGTTGTTGTTATTTTGACAATATCTATGTCGCTCAATGAATTGTTAGATGCATTCTGTAGCTCAGTACGCAGATTTTACTATTTTTTGTTTATTGGTCGTTTCGCTACACTAGGAGTAAACGCCAAGGAGTACTGCCATACACTGGAAGGGATCAAGGAATGTGCCAACGGATGTTGTGGTGATAATTGGAGAAACAATGTTTCCTGCTGTCCATTCCAGTAAGTGTTCCTGGTCAACGTAATGTAAACAACAACTTTAAATTTATATTTAAATAACTAATTTAATTGAAATCAACCAAGTAATCAATTGATTTTTGTAACGTCTAACCTCCGTTACAAGTTGTGTCTAACCTCCGTTACAAGTTTGTCTAACCTCCGTTACAAGTTGTGTCTAACCTCCGTTACAAGTTGTGTCTTACCAAACGTGTCGGCTTTAATATCCGATTTGTGATCGTGTTTTAACTCGGAGGTATGTATGTAAATACATATTGTTGGGCTTTAACAACATACAAATGCAGACTAATTACATGTACATGCTTGTATCAAATACTCACGGGAGATATGTATTCCGTGCTGATAAACATGACAATAATACACGGTAGAGTGCCGACTGGCATGCAAGATTTGTGTGTTGATTGTCGTTTAAATAACCTTAATGATTTGTGACTTTCTTAATTTTGAACATCATAATTGAACCATAGTAAATATGTTTATAATGACTAACGAGGAAAGGACAACAATTCATTTTCTTCTTTTTACATTAAGATACAATACAATGTACATACATGACATAACATGACATAAAACAAACCTATATATAGACACACATATTACAATTATCAGAAAGGAAAGGTAAGATTGTTTAAAATGTATTTTTAATTTGAATTTCTCTATGAGCGTTTAGTGTGAGCGTAATCAATATTTGCATTTACTCAATATAATAATTATATACATGTATTATAAATAAGAAAATAACTAATGACAAATCGGTCCCAAATTTCAGGTTTGTGATGTTTTCGAAAAACGTTTTGTCATTTGGCCCATTCTCTTTGAAAGTGGTTAAGGTAGCTTTCTCCCTTACTTCTAGCAATGTATTTTTGATTAATTTGAATATGGAAATCTTGCCCGAGTTGTTTACCCATAAGGCTTTTGTAAGTGGAAATATGCCAAGCATCTAGCATGAAATTATTTTGGTGATTGGTATTTGGCAATTTCGTCTTTCATTTTCTAAAATTCAATTTTCAAATCGTCAGAAAAAAATAGGACACTGTCACCCATTTGTATTTTAAATGATGGTGTAAGGCTGCAATGACTATGATCGTGTTGTTTTCGTTCATAATGTATGGTGTAAACCAATCAACTTAGGCTGTTCGGTGCTGTTCTGGCTATCGTCTGGTTTTGTCTGCCACCGTACGGATCATGATTATACTGGTTTACTGCCTTAATCATGATGATGCTGGCTTACTGCCTTAATCATGATGATACTGGCTTACTGCCTTAATCATGATGAAACTGGCTTACTGCCTTTATCATGATTATACTGGCTCACTGCCTTAATCATAATTATACTGGCTTACTGCCTTAATCATGATTATACTGGCTTACTGCCTTAATCATGATTATATTGGCTTACTACCTTAATCATGATTATACTGTCTTACTGCATGTTTCATTTGCAGCTCTGTGGTCTTCGTCATGATTAGTCCCCCACCGGTGAAACCGNGGGGGGGGGGGGGGGGGGGGGGGGGGGGGGGGTACTATAGTTTTCCTCTCCATCCGTCTGTGTACGTACGTTTGTCAGCGCTCTAGCGGCTTCATTGCTTGAAGGATTTGGATCAAACTTTAAACTATTACAAAGGACCATACTATTTTTAGAAAATCCTTGTCAGCGCTCTAGCGGCTTCATTCCTTCAGGGATTGTGATCAATACTTAGTATGCTTGTTGTAATTGCTAATGTCATGTTTTATGAACTGTTGTGGACTTCATCAAGATTGTACTGAAAAATATCGTGGTTTTGTTTACAGCCCTGCGACCTTCACAATCCTGGGTATTGCGTTGGTTATCGTCTTCATAGCTTACTGTATCATTAACGCAATGAAGAGACGGAACAGGAGAAAAACTGTCATCAAGCCGAAAGTGTATACCGATACAAAACAGGTGTCGTCCGTCTCTTATGGTAGGGTCGTATTTATGTCTGCATTAGTCATTTGACGTTTATTTGTTATATATATAAGAAATAACAAAAGTTTCCCAGTACTTTCCTAGTTATAGATCAAATTATGTCATGAAAACCTCCGATTACCAATATTGTGAAAGTCACAGATTATTTAAAAACGACCGGCTGTACATCTCTAATTGTCTGATGTGACATTGCAGTTCGTGTGGCCACTGGTATCCTAAAGAAGTACCCATCCAACCTTCCACCTTCATACTTAAACGGACAGGAATTGAGGATACACAACACCGACGTTCCTCCAACCTATTCAGACGATCTGAACTACCTTCCACGATGACATCGTTCCCGTCCCAATCACTGTGACTCTGTTATCCCGACACAGACTCGCTAAAAGACATACATAACAACATCCTGTATACAACTTGTCCGGACTTGTAAGATATGTTATTTATGAAGTGTTGCACTCGCGACACTGTTGTTGTATATAGTTCTTTTTGTCATCCTCGATACACTTGGAGTTACGCTCATGTATGCTCTCTGCACCCCTGGAATATGTCATAGCGAAATTGAAGGCAAAAAGATAGCTGTTAGATTGGTCTCAGGTAAAAAAACAAAACAATCGCCAGGCTGATACTTGGCCTTTGAAGATTACAGAGGAGCGACACCCAACTTCAAAGCCAGTCATTTTTTACCGTTACGCGACCGCGAGATTCTTTTGATGTACGTTAAACTCGTCTTCTTGTCTCATCAACAAGGTGGGGCACACTGAGCCTTCAATTTTGCTATAAAATATTCCAGGAGTGAAGAGAGAGCGTAAATGAGCGTAACCCCTGAAGTATCGAGGATGTCTTTTGTAAGCACTTCCCGGTCATATTTAATTTGTGAATTATTTTCACAAAAAAAATAGCGACAGTTACAGTGAAAGTGTTAACTATACCCTGTATGCAGTGTGTGATTCCATCGTTCAGTGTATCTATATATTTTGCAATATTTTGTAAATACAACAAATAATGTAGATCAGTTTGATAGATAGTTAGTTTCCCCCTTTTGTCATATTTCCTTTGATTTCGGTCATATTTGTTACAGTATCTCCCTAAAAGATACTTTGTCTACATGTAACTTACTGATAGATATCACCATGCCGAGTCTCGCGCACTCTGACGTTTGTTTGAAGTATGATAACGACAGTACAGACAAAGAACTTAGTCAAATTTTCATGGCGACCCGCACCTTTTTCAAGACAGAAACACGAATGCTTGTTCGGATCTAGTGCTCATGTTAGATCGTATTGTCGTTATTACTAATGAGACCTATACATGGAAAGTTATAAACCAATTAGTGTATTATGTTGTTACTTGTTTGATATATATATTAATATGATATCTCATCACAGTGAATAAAAACGATATCAAACTGTATTGTATCGTTTGCAATTATCTGTTTGTTTTCCGAAGCTATTTGATAATCTTCCAATCGACATACCTAAATAACACGGCGGGCTAATTGATAGCACAATTGAAATTTAATTGCATATTAGAATCATCTCCATTTGAAATAGATAAAAATATACTACGGCTTTAGTGACACCTAGCATAAATTATCCAATAAGACAGACATCCCACGCAGTACGCTGTAACCCTGATCAAACACGGCAACGTCATGTCATAGCAAAATTCAAGGCTAATGCAGCACCTTGTGGATGTTGACAAGAAGCCTAGTTTGACCCTTTGATGTACACCAAAAGGATATCGCGGTCGCGTAACGGTAAAATTAACTCGCTTTACAGTCGGATGTCGTTCCTCTGGAACCATCAAAGGACAGGTATCAGCCTAGCGATTGGTCAGGTTTTTTCCTTGAGACCAATCAAATTGCTAGCCGCGTGGCTTCAAATTTGCTATGACATATTCCAGGGGTGCAGAGAGCGTGAGTGAGCATCGAGGATGCCAAAACAACAGAAAAAAAATGCATCGAACAATCTGTCAGACAACATTCAATGTATTTCTCCTTCTTCTGCGAGATCTCTTATATATATTGTTACCATGTGTATTACTGTATATTAATATAATATGAACATACTGCAATACCATAATCGGGACAAGGGGATATACCATACGTTAGTAACTTATAAAAGCCCAGTTCCAATATGTATATAATAATATCAAACACCTTAAGGTGACAAAACACTGAGAAGGTAGTTCGCTTTCAGTAAAACTGATTGAGAGATCTGGCGATAAAGGAGAGCAGGCGTGTGAAGACATGGGATTGTTGAAGACATCAGTGGGACACTTAATCGATAATCATGAGACAAGGTTCAAGTAGCTTTAGTTTTTACTATTCCAAAAATTGAAGAATTTCTAAATTGAGCTGATAAAATTATAATAAATTAAGACCTTTTGAATCTTTTAACGAAATATTCAAGAAATTGCCCAACTGCTTTTATGGGTTAACAATGAAGATATTTTCGCAGTTTCATTTATTTACGTATCATGCTACTCAGTTATGGTATAACTATTGTTGAAGACTCGAGCTGACCACTATGGTAGGGGGACCTGCAACCAGTGGACAGCTTGGGGATATACTATAGTCGGTTACATTTATCCCAACAGGGTTAGGCTGGCTATGACTGCAATATTCTGTACTTGTCTATTTCCCTATCTTTTGTATTGCTTTCTTATTATTGAAATTACTTTGTAAATAGTGTCCATTTTATTATGTTTGGCGATTAGTTTTCACTCAGTATGTTATAAAGGTGAGATCAGGACTTTTATTTTATCATATTTTTTTTAAAGTGAACATTGTATTATGTTAAATAATAGGGGCACTGTAGTGATATTTTTGTGACAGAAAAGTATAATTCAGCAGTAATACCTTATACAATGTAAATTCTGCAACATCAGTTAACCAATACAAACAGTATACCCATGATTTAGAATATCACGACTTGATAGTTTTTGTATGTTTCGTGAAAATATGCATATTACAACCCATCATTTGTTAAATTAGTATATATCCTGTGTTCAAAGATATCTTATGAAAGAAGTATGTAACAATATTTATGATATCTTAAGGAGAAAGTTCTGTAAGATATTTATAAATAAGATTGATTATATAAGACATCGTTCATATTTTGACGAAATACATTTGCGATTTTGCTCAATAAGGTTGTCATTAAACAGGCTATTGCACTGAATATACGAAAACTGACAGGTTTGTGATACCCAAAGGGGGACAACTCACACTTACTTGAGAGTGCATGAGACATTTAGTTATCCCAGGTAAATTCATTTTTGACTCATATAACTTCAAAAGCGGACTGAATTATCTATTGACGTACGTAGAGGTGGTCACCCTTTTCATGTTCACTATGTTGTCTTGTCTCATGCTACGACACACATCTTCCATTCAACAAGATTTTGTCATTAGTTGGTAAAACATTTTATACGATTTATACGTAAAACGTTTAGTTTGTATCGGGACAGAGAACGTTATCGACCCTGAAGTAGCGGACTTCCTGACAACCACCTGTAGGTATGGTATCACTGTGCTATGTAATAAACATGTTTACCAACAGGGTAGAATTGCGGGATGTCGTATGAATAACACATTGCATTAACACACACAAGTAATGTACAGGTAAAATCATATCGTTTCTTTCCCTCTTGTATAATTCCATTGTTTTAGTATAAATGGAACCCCAAAAGAAAACAAGTAAATACAAACATATTTGAGTGCGAAAAACGAAAGCAATGAATTCAAAACATACATATGATTTATTACAAAGTGTCTATACACGAGATGTTGAAAACAGACATTACATGTATCGTTAATCATCACGATCTCAGGTTACATATTATTGAAGGTACATTTGATGCGTTATTTAAGTTTTAAACCTTTCTCGGTAGGAATTACGTTTGCATTACCTTTAAAGAGTTGTATGTACTCTCTCGAACTATTTTACATATAGTGACAATAGTGACAGACCTGCGAGTAATCCCTAGTTACAGGACTTCGTACAATAGGTGCACACATGCTGCGTTTTAGGATACGGCTAGTGTACGCGGAGTCATGAAATGAACGCGGAAAAGATCCGTCTGACTGGAACATATGGCAAGCCAGCTTAACATTTATTCAAGGAGCAATGTCGATCCTGTATTTCATCGAATTATATAAGATAATCATATGAGATATCTCATATACAATAGAGATATCTTATATAAATGAGATATCTTATATACAATATAGTACAGAAGATATCTTATATAGCATATCAGATATCTTATATACGATATAAGATAATATCTTAAATAATATATGAGATATCTTATATTATATATAAAATATCTTATATACTATATGAGATATCTTATATAGAAATTAAATGAACAAATGTTAAGTTGGCTTGCCATAGGAACATGTACTGTGAAGACAGTCCTTCACCTGATTAACCTTTTGAAGAATGGTACTTGAAAATTAGAACTACCATGATCGTTGTAATAAATGTTCTAACATTTGTATATTAATTGCATAGTAAATGCTGAAACCCATTGGTGTTTCATACGGTAATTGAGATCGGCTTTTCTTACCGCACTTATCGCAAAGGCTGCCGACATGATTATTTCCATGAGGTTGCCGTGGTCACAGGAAAAACAGTTTATTTGTCCATATGTGGCCGTGGTTATCACAGGTATTACAGACAAATGTATGTGATGGTTTCATGTCTTGGACGGTGTTTTATGGGCCTCCTCAACAGATGAAGTGACTGAAGATGATGCACCCATCGGGTAGATCTCCTTTGGGTCATCCCATTCTTCTGTATCCCTCATACGTGTCTGAATTGAAAGTTTTATTGATACAAATCAAATTATAAAAGAGAATTTACAACAAGTTACATATGTTTGAAATGTTTTCATGTTTCAAACCATACATATTCATTCTTGAATCTTAATTGGTCGATATATTGCCAAATATTAAAACATAACCTATGTTCCGCGTTAAATATTTATCCGGTTTCGTTTAGTATTGTTTAACGTCCTTTCAACAGCTATGATCATTTAAGGACGGCCTCCCCTGTGTGTAAGATGCATGCGTGTAGTGTGTGCGTGTGTGTTTTGGGAGACTGCGGTATATTCGTGTTAGTCTCCTTGTGATAGCACGGAACTGATGCCAACTTTATAGTGCTACCTCACTGAAACATACTGCCGAAGACACCCAGCAGGACACCCCACCCGGTCACATTATACTGACAACGGGCGAACCAGTCGCCCACTCCTAAATTTCTGAGCGTTAAGCAGGAGTAGAAACTACCATTTTTACAGACTCTGGGATGTCTCGGCCAGGAGACAGAACCCAAAGCCTTCCTCACAGGGGCGAACGCTCAACTAAAGGCCAAAAATGAGGCATTGTCAAGGGAGACATTAGGAAGAAGAAAGTTGTTTAGAAAGAAGAGAAAAGATAAGATCCCATCTGTTGGGAGCCTGAATTATCTAGTCTAACACCAAAAATAGAAAGTTGCAAACTTAGAATCGAAATTTGCATTCTCAAAACTAGGATTTAGCATATGCAAAAATAATAAAGGATATCAAATAAATGGGACTCTGTTCCGTTCACTTAAAAATATGTTTATTCAGCAATGAACACGGTCTGAAAAGACACAAAGTAGTGATAAATTGCACAATAATAATTAGCATGAATTTCGTATAGAAACTAATCATAACATACAATTCTCTATCTCCCCCAAGTCTTTGGTACACGCGAGTTATAGGGTCACTCGTATTAGTCCTAGGAACAAAGACTGATGTGAAATATGAGAATTATTAAGAAATGTACGACTAATTGTCCTAAAATAAACAAAATGAAGCACTGAGTCTCCGTGAAAAGTTGCACAACAGATATAACACTTAGGAAATGTTCCAAGTAGAAACAAGTCAATTGTTATTTGGACATTTTATAATCTGAATGCCAAGCTGGTTTCTTTGTGGCACGACCAGAAGTCCGGATCGGTGCAGGGGACGGAACTACTGCTTGTGGCGTATGTGTCGAGATAGGTGGCATCGTTGCCGGGGGTGTGGTGATTTTGCTCACTGGGGTTGCAGGAGAATCAAACGCTAGATGACGTCGACTGAAGATGTCTCGAATACCAAATGGTGGTGAAGGGTGATCAACATCAGATGATGAACGAGGCGAACGTTGTATGGTTCTAGTAGTCAACGGAGTGGATGGTGGAGGACTCGTATCCTTACGGGGAGGGTTGCTCTCTTCACCGACGACGGTGTCTGGGGCGTTAGAAGTAGGAGACGTCGTACGATGGGAGAGTCCAATTTGATTGTCAATTGTGTAGCGCGCTGGTGGTGTAACGACTGGGATATACTTCCTTAGGAATTTCCTGTTGCGTAAGGTAACACGGCCAGATCCGTCAACCCGAACTACATATTGATCAAACTGGCGAACTTCGGTAATGATTCCAGTCTTGTCCCATTTAAGGGGGTGAGGACCAACTTGATTTTGGATGCGTACATGATCTCCAACTGCAAGAGGTAAGAGGCGTTTGGTGTGTTCAGACCAACGTTCACTTTCTCGCATGTGACGATTCCGTAACGCCTCCTCGCGAGCTGCTAAAGTCTCCAGCCAAGTGTTGTGTGGAATGTACCGACCGGGCGGTATAGGAATAAAGTCTCGTATAGGACGACCGAACACGCACATAGCAGGGGATAGTTTTGTGTCTCTGTCAGGTGTGTTACGATACTGGAGAATAGCGCGTTGGAATGCGTCGGTGTTTAAGTCGCTATTGGGACTGGTGATCAGACGCTTCACTGTTTTGACTCCCACTTCAGCACGGCAGTTACTATGGGGAAAAAGCTACAAATGACAGTCTATGGTGAACGCCCCAGTTCCTGAGAAATCGACGTGTGGCCGCAGAATTGAACTCGGGTCCACCATCTGATGCTAGTTCATCAGGGATACCAAAAGTAACAAATGTCCTTCGGAGACAGTCTATTAAACCATTGTAACCATCAGAGACTTTCTCCATCACCGGCCAGTTGGAATTACAATCAACTACCACTAGGTAATTACAGCTCATGTAGTGGAAAAAATCTGCACACACGCATTGGAATGGATAGTCAGGAGTTATCAAAGGCGTCGGTGGTGCATTCGGGTTAAATGGAGCAATATGGTTGCAGTGGTTACAAGTTGCGCGTAGGGAGGCGATGGCAGGCGTGATACCAGGCCAGAAGATTGACGCGTCAGCTCTTGAAGTCATAGATGTCACCCCTTGATGTGCAGAATGCAGAGAGGCAAGGGTTTCTTCCCGAAACGATGGTGGAATGACTAGTCTGTCTTTATAAAGTACTACACCATCAACCGTATGAAGGTCGTCGCGGAATGGGAAATATTCTTGCCGCCGGTATGTTGTCATCGCTGGTAGTAGTGGTTCTAACGCGCTCCCAGGTGACGGATCGTAAATTGATCGCATCTGGTGTTGAAGAGGCTGTTGCCACGACATGCTCCTCGACAAATGCTAGTCCTGATGAAGGCATGCATAGACCACTCATTAGACCAAAGTGGGCGATGTCGACGGCAGAAAAGGACAGTGCTGCAATGTCGTCCTCGAGCACAAGTTTCTCAGGCTCACCAATAGGATGTCGGGAGATACAAACCGCAGCACGATGTCGTGTGCCAAGCACATGAAGCATTCAAAACGGTATCGTAGTGTTTTCTCCTTGAGGTTACGAAGTCTGTTGTTAGGAATGTGTTCCAGTGATCTATCGCCAAATAACTTCAACAATGGCTTATGATCAACAGCTATGATCAAGTTGTCGCACCCAAGAACGAAGTGTCTAGCTTTATCAAGAGCATCTGCTACTGCCAGGGCCTCGCCCTCAACCGGCGCGTAACGCGTCTCTACCGCATGTGTGAACCGACTACCTACGAGTGTAACTTTCCAACCATCACGGCAGCATAGCAGGCTTTCATTAGCACAAGCGCAGTGTTTCTGTAGCAACCAGAATTCAATGCCAGTCTTTGACCAGTCCGTCGCGAGACACGTCAATTTACGTCGAAAATCCGTACACCCTGCTCAATCTCGTTGGCAATGACAATTTTGGATTCCTCAAAAAGTCGTTGGAGATCTTCAGTCCACTGAAATGGTTGATCTGGTTTGATCAACTGACGGAGAGGAAGCATATTCTCAGTCATACTGAAGGCATACGACACCTGATGGGCTAGTCCAAACCATGGCCGCACATCTGTGATGTTCCTGGGTGTCGGGAAATCCAGGATGGTGCGTAGGTATTTCTGTGAAGGCCGTACACTATCGTTGGTTATTTCAAACCCAGCGAATTCGAGTGTGTCCTCTGCAAATACAAATTTGTCAGGGTTCAGCGTTATACCGTTACGGCCGCATATGTCAAGCCACTGGACTGCCTAAAAGAAGCTTTCTTCAACAGTGTCTGACCATAAAAGAACATCTTCGACACATTTTGTTTTGTTGGGGATATCCGAAACAAGCTCGTCATAGCGCCTGGTGTATCCGTCGCCCGATGCAATGCAGTCTTGGGGTGCAGTTTTGTAACGGTACCTCCCACAAGAAGTAATGAACGTGGTCAAGTGTCTGTCCTCTTCGCAGATGGGTACACTGTGATAACCGTTCCATGCATCAAATAATGTCTTCTTCTTTCCATGTGGAAAAAAACGGGTAAAGTCGAAGCGGTGCAGTATATAGTCATGGTTTTCTGTTGTATTTTATTCATTTTTCACTAATTGTGTAGGGTTATACTGTATCAGCGACGTGCATAAAGGGTATTGACCGTGTTCATAAATGGGACTCTGTTACGTTCACTTAAAAATATGTTAAAACACAAAGTAGTGGTAAATTGCACAATGATAATTAACATGAATTACGTATAGAAACTAATTATAACATACAATCCTCTATAAAACATTATTTTGGGGGTCAGCAATTACATACTTTTGAATAATATTTTAGAATTCAAATTTTGCCGCCAAAGAAATTATCTGTTCCGAGAACTGCCACCCGGAAGTAAATCAACCTCGATTAGGCCTATCTGAATGAGGTCAAACCTCTCTTCAAACCGAAAGCAAAATTTTCACAATCATGAGGTGATGGTAGTTTCTGTTCATATATCAGAATATCTACAATAATGGCGACTTCTAGCTCAGACATCGACTTTGATTTGGTGAAGACTCTCGGAGAGGGAGCCTTCGGTAAAGTGTACCTGGTGACGGACAAGCACAACCCGACAGAGCAGGTAAAACTGTGCTCTGTCAAATCTGTCACCGACAGACTGTGTCGTGTTGATAATTTCGAAACATTTCTTTTTTTTTTCACTGATAAGTTAGTGTTGCAAACTATAAACCTCCCATATACTTATATATTAAATTACCCAATTATTAATCAAACTAGAAACATTAATTAAATATTGTTTGTGCATGTTTACGTTCTGTAACAGGTATCCAGGTAAAACTGTGGTGCTACTACACCTGGTACAAATTTTTAATGCCAATGTTTTCAGAACAGTATTAATATTCTTAGGTATTTCTTGATCTAATCATTAAAAGGCCCCTTCTGTTTTTTTGTCATACCCAAACCTGCACTTGAAGTATACAATGCCCTTGAACCTGACATGGGTTCTTCACAAATGTCTAAAATACATTTGCTATACTGATATTGGTCACAGCACACATAAGTATACACACTGATATTGGTCACAACATACATAAACATACCAGCAATTTACAGTATAGCATAGTGTGCGTATTTTAGGCATTTGTAACAAACCCATGTGCTTGAACATTAATCTTGCTGTTTGATCTGTCAACAAATGAACACAAACTGAGCATGACGATGCAGATCTAGTCCGATTCGTTCACACTGGTAACTGTGGGATTTCTGTTTACATCTCAAGCCAGGGGTGTTATTGTTAAACTGCTCGCAGCAGTCAGAACAGGTGTGGATTTAGTTAGATGGGTAATATTGTCACAGAATGTCAGATTCATGAGATTTAAACATTTTCTGCGGTTCAGAGTAAAGCGGAAAATGATGGTCCCATAACTATTGTCCTGTAGTTACGTATTTCTGGTATTTCCTTCAGACAGGTGTTATTATTTGTCTAATGAGCGTTTGACACGTTGTGGGCACGTGCTAGGACAGAAAAGAGAAAAGTGTGTGCAGTATGGGGTGATGTTTGTCATTCTAGCCATGGACGACGTAGCGTATGGTCAAGCTAAATTTAAAATTCAAATTTTTAAGCAATTTTATTGAAATGCATATATATATTATTTTAACTAGATCGTTTAGGTTAGAAACCCCAGCAGACAGTGTCTTAAGCCTTCACGGTTGGTGCACCTCCTGTATCGCCTCATAGCAAGGTTATCAGGTTGGTTGGCGTGCTAGTCATTTGTTTGATTTTTTAAATTCAATTACATTATGGTATAGATACTAGTTAGATCTAGTAGGCATGTTGAATGAGGAAATGAGAGATATCGGCGTTGTGTATATAGATATATACATTTGTACATGCAGGAAAATTGTAACATAACTGTAATCGACATGATTATATTTGTAATAAATGCCGGTTGTAGTCCACCATTGTTCACACTTGCTATATGCAGTTTGGTGTTTGAGTTGTTAAATTGGAGCGGAGTATAATAAAGTTGTAACAGAGTGTGGGATTAATGAAATGGGCAATATTGTAACAGAATGTCAGATTCATGAGATAGGCAATATTGTAACAGAAAGTTGGAAGTTTTTCTCCCTCCTCTGTGTGTGCAAGATTATAAGACTCTTTCATTCCTCAGGATTTTCAAATTTAGCAAAACCCTCGGCAAGCCTCGGGTTTTACCAAATTTGAAAACCCCCGGGTTGAATTTCCCTATCCTACACCTTTGGGTATGAAAGAGTATTTTTTCTCCCATTCCTACTATCAGAATAAGCTCAGAAACCATTAAAATGTGATTGGACTGGCTACCATTTTGAAAATATCAATTTTTCCCCTTAGCTTTTTAGAAGAAAATAAATCTTTCAGTGAGATTAAGCATACCCCATATATGCAAACATTGTGACGTCACGTCACATGAAATCGGGTGAAAGATAGAAATTTCCTGCACCCCGTTCTTACCCTGGACAGCTCTATCTTACACACACGGAAATGAGAGAATATGTGTGCGTCCAATGTGGAACACCTTTGGGGGAAACGTGACCTCACAATCATATTTAGAGTTATTATGACGTCACAATTGAAAACGTGTCATTAGTGACACCACCCTAATAAACTGAACTGTTGTACTAGCTTACCCTGGAGGGCTTGTGTGAATATATTTTGAGGTACTTCATCTATGGTATACCATACTTTTTCTGTTCTTTAGAAACTTTGCTATATTAAGTGTTGAATTTGCGTTGTATATGTTCTGTTTAACCATAACTTCAGTTAAGAGGTTTTGCATCATGAAGTGATACATTCTTTACTTCATAACATTGTGATGATGATATTTATTTTGTTTACTCATTTACCCCTGAAGACACATTTGAACTCTTCCAATTAAACGTTAATAGTAATAATTAATAGTTCATTATGAAATTTCAGGGGTGAATGAGTTATATTATTTTCAAGGTGATGATTTGTTTATTACATTATCAGTGTGATACATCATTTACTTCAGTATGCCATGAAAGTGATTAACCTGTCCAAGTCCCCAGAAGAAGAAAGAGAATTGGCCCTGAAGGAGGCACGTCTCCTGTCCGACTTTAACCATGAGAATATCTTGCGCTACATAGAGTCGTTTGAGCAGGATGGAGCGCTGTGCATTGTGACCGAGTTCTGTGACGGGGGGGACTTGAGCCAGTATCTGGAGGCCAGGAAGAACAAACCACTACAAGAAAACAGGATTGTGGAATGGTTTAAAGAAATCTGCTGTGCCTTATCGGTAATGTTTTCATGTTCATGCAGTACAGACTGAATACTTTCAGTATTTATAAATCATCCTTGCTGGGGTTTCTCCTTTTTTTTGGTTTGATGTTTTTCTTCATCCCAATCGGACGACAGGTATAGTTTCTCTAATTTTATATTTCCAGAATGAAAAATGATTCTATTTTCTGTTCTTCTCATTTTACTATTTCCAACCCGAAACTTTGTGATGAGCTGATACTTATGTAGTGAGAGAAATATTGATTACAAATGCCTGCATCCCAAGGAAAGTCTTAGACCGATTAGTCTTTGGTTTAGATTCTGGTTTAGGATATAAATCTGTTGGCCTTTTCTTATTTTATGCTAGCATTTTTTTTTAAATTTTTTTTTTGGTTATAATTAACATATATATACAAAATCAAATATTTTCTAAGATATAACAATTAACATCTGTATCATTTAAAATAAAATCCTAACGTAATTGAAAAGTCCTACTATTTTTTACAGTATCTACATGGCAGAAAGATCATACACAGAGACATGAAGACCCAGAATGTTTTCCTCACGGGAACGAGGAAGATCGCCAAACTAGGCGACCTGGGACTTGCCAAGTGAGTCCTCAGACTAATCCCACACTTTACCCAGAGAGAGTTTTTTTGTTTAACCCCAAAAATCAATGGCATAGTGTGAGATAGAAGATATTTAAACCTGATGGGCTGATACCTTTTGTAAAACTATTACAGATTGTCTGAGTGTAACAATTTGCAGCAGCTTAAACTAGGAAGCTGAAGGTATATTTATAATTATTATCACAAGTTGTATAGTAACTATTCAGGTGTACCTGTGGAGAGGAAGAAATGAAAACAAATCGCTTGCTTTATTCACAGTTATTTAAAAAAAAAAAAAACACGTTCCACTAGATATGGGCAGATTGGTCGAGTGGTTAACACTCCAGCATTCCAAGCAGGTGAAGTCGTCGTAGTATGGAATATTCAGAGAAAGTGTTTTTCTCCTGCCCACACAACTCCAACAACCCAGGTGGAGTATAAAATGGTCTGGGGTGGATGTTGCGGTATCTGTGCTGTGGCATTTAGGGGGGTGGCAATATAAATGATACTGTTGGAAGTACGGTCCCACTACAAACAGAACACAATACAATTATTTAAAAAAAAAAAAAACACGTTCCACTAGATATGGGCAGATTGGTTGAGTGGTTAACACTCCAGCATTCCTAGCAGGTGAAGTCGTCGTACGTATGGAATATTCAGAGAAAGTGTTTTTCTCTTGCCCACACAACTCCAACAACCCAGGTGGAGTATAAAATGGTCTGGGGTGGATGTTGCGGTATCTGTGCTGTGGCATTTAGGGGGGTGGCAATATAAATGATACTGTTGGAAGTACGGTCCCACTACAAACAGAACACAATACATCTCCAGCACACACGCAGGCATACACATATAGGGAGATATTAGCCATGTGGTATAGGACTAGTAGTTAGCGTCTGATAAGGCAGCTCCTGCGAATTCCTCAAAATTGTATTGATTAATGTATATGCTAATTAAATTCATTGTATTAAATTTTATATCTATGTACTGTAAAGTGCTTTAGAGTGTTTTATGTTAGCTAGATAGAGCGCTATATCAAATGTTGTATATTCATTTATTTATTTATAGTCGGAACCTGTATAGCGGGCGGGACGAACACGGAAAACTACAGTAGTACTGTAGCAGTGATATATGAGTCTAATTAGGAAAACCTGAATGAATGTGCTTACATGTACTATCTCAAAGGACGCCAGTTTTGTAAAATCATTTTCCAACATGCTTTTACTTTATTTTCTGTTATTAATAATTGCAACAATTGTTTCTTTTTATGTGTCATCATTTCTATTTATTGTTTTCCAGAGTTTTAGAGCGACCTAATGCCAAGGCAGTGACCTTCTGTGGAAGTCCCTATTATATGAGTCCGGAACTATTCGCCTGTAAACCTTACGATGCCAAGGTAAGGGCTTATCACCAAAGTTAGTTGTTAACTGTTTCAAGTCTGATAGGTTTTGTTTAGAAAGTTTTTCAAAATTACTAAAGATAGAATGGTTTTGTTGTGATCAGTAAGCTGAATCACTGCCCATCAAACTGTCAAATATCTGTCAATCTGTTCTAGAAATAGTAATTACTAGTTGAATGATTTAGTACAGTAGTGAACTAAAGGAATGTAAAACTCATTCCACTACAGAACAGGTATATTTGTAAAGGTCAACTTTACCAATTGTGTTCCTGTAAAAAGGATGACCTCCCTGTAATCTCAAGCTGTGTTTATCAAATGGCTGAGTTTTCTAATAACATCTTGAAAAGTTAACTTTAGAATCACAATCAATCCAGTTTTCTTTCCATAAAAAAATAACCTAAGACTGAGTTAAAAGTATATCAAATTTGGTTAATTGAATAACCTTGATCCGTGTTCAAGGCCACAGGGGTCAATTTTTTTAAAATATTTAAAAAAGCTCTTTTAAAAGTAGAGTAGTAACATTTAGCCTACAGCTTACTGGGATATCATAGTGATACTATCAACTTTATTCAAATAAATGATCTGAAGATACATTGAGTTAAAATCTCCCAACAGAGATTCAAAAAGGTGGGGAGTTACTATATTTTTGCTGTATTGTTAACTTGCTTGCTATGAAGATCGTTTTAAAACATTTGAACCCGACTCATTACAATTTGACCCTGACCCATGACAACTTGACCCTGACCCATTACAATTTGACCCTGACCCATTACAATTTGACCCTGACTCGTAACAATTTGACCCTGACCCATTACAATTTGACCCTGACCCATTACAATTTGACCCTGACCCATTACAATTTGACCCTGCCTCGTAACAATTTGACCCTGACCCATTACAATTTGACCCTGACGCGTAACAATTTGACCCTGACCCATTACAATTTGACCCTGACCCATTACAATTTGACCCTGACCCATTACAATTTGACCCTGACTCGTAACAATTTAACTTTGACTTACTTTCAATATCACAGATATGAGATAGGTTTCCCAGCAACATTGATAAAAAGGGGAGGGATACAGGCCCAGTGATGCTCTTGTTTATTTAAATGCTATCGAAATATTTGATTTATTCATTTTTTTCCTCCAAAATATCAGAATTGTATTAATTTTAATATTTATTATATTTTTTTAACTTCAGCCATTACAGACAGTAGACCTACTTATATGATGAAAGTATAACCCTGTTTGTATATGTGGTTTTATTTTCCGACAGAGTGATATATGGGGCCTGGGCGTGTGTGTGTATGAGATGGCTACCCTTGAGCGACCTTTTGATGCCATGCTGATGCAGCAGCTTGTCTTCAAGATTGTACATGGTCAGGTATGTCTGTCGGTTCATATCTACTTTGTATTGATATATTTGATATATTGCACAGGAAGTAAAATAAAATAACGACTTGGAAGACATTTTAGGGTGTACATATCTTGTAAACAATGCTCTTCCCTTACCATATCTTTGTACTTGAAGCTGAAATTTCAAACAAATGCTTTTGACAAATTTTATAGATATAACGTGAAAGCACATTTACTTGAAGTTATAGAGATAATTGAGACTATGAATTACAACAAGTCAATAATATTTAAAATCTTTAAATGACTTGTTCTGTTTAACAAAAACGTCCAGGATAATGATATTTTGCCAGAGCATGCTGGGTTGGAAGACTATAAACTCTGTTCAACTTAATGTCCTTGTTTAACACTCAAGGTCACAGGCGTCATATGTTTAAATCTTTTGATAGGTTCTTATGAATCAAACTTTAGTCCACTTTTAAGATTACACGTGTAAGATAAATACCAGGTGAGCGATTCAGGCTCATTGGGCCTCTTGTTATTAAACTACTTGGTTGTTTCATTACGTGAATGCTTTGAATAAGTTCTTCAATTGTGACATTTAAATGCTATTCAGCAGAGTTATGCCCCTTTTTCCAAATCAGGGCATTCCGTCGAAAATGCAACAACTTTTTAATCATTTGCTCAAGACTCCTACCTCAAAGCCAATGTTCTAGTTTTAGTAATAGTAACATTGACAACAAAAGTGTAATTCCTGAAACACAAAATAGCTTGAGTCATAAACACAGTAAATGAATGGCAAGGTCACAGTCACCAGCAAAACAGTGGCAGTAAAAAAATAATCTTCCACGGTTTATACTCATGCTTCATTAATTTCAAACTGTCCACAGTTACCTCCCATGCCAAAAGACAAATATAGTTCAGAACTGATTGCTGTGATGGAGAAGATGCTTTGCAGGGAATGTGAGCAACGACCTTCAGCTGATGACCTTTTGAATGACCCAGTGTTTCAAAATCATGTTCCACCTAAGGTAAATATACATTGATGGTTGAGAAGGGTAATCTGTAAATTATATACCGACAGTTCCCCCTTTAAACCCTGTGTAAAAGTGCGAGAAATATACATCGATGTTTGAGAAGGGTAATCTGTAAATTATATACCGACACTTCCCCCTTTAAACCCTGTGGAAAAGTGCGAGAAATATACACTGATGGTTGAGAAGGGTAATCTGTAAATTATATACCGACAGTCCCCCCTTTAAACCCTGTGTAAAAGTACTAGAAATATAAATTAATAATTTCACAAGTACCACCTACTATGACAGTTGAACCCAAGAAATACACTGATGTTAATATTTTGCAGACCCCACCCACACCTACCGCCAAACCAGTGCGGCAAATGAACTGGTTAAAAGAATCAATGTCTCAGGGCGGTGGAGCTGATGAGGGACGAGGGGTGTTTAACATGGACAATCTTATGTCCACACTGACAGAGAAACACAAACAGCGACGACAGAAACTAGGAAAATCAATCATTGCTTCAGCTCGGGTTGACAACAAAATCATGGCATCAAATTACTCTGAAAATAAGTTTGACAAAACATGTAAGGATTTATCTAGTTTTCGTAAGGACACTACTCTGAAGGCCACAGGTAACGATGTCATGCTGTCTTCAGTTACTTCACAAGATATGGAAGAAACTTTGGCTGCTGTGGCAAAAGGTCAACCTAATCCGGCCATGATGTTACAACTAGTGGTCAGGACACTCACACAGATATTCCCCAAGGTAAGGTATTGTAATATCTGACCTCTGACCTATACAAGTTAATGTATTGGTATGTCTGACCTCTGACCTCTACAACACTCATACAGATATTCCCCAAGGTGAGGTATTGTTATATCTGACCTCTGACTTGTACAAGCTAATGTATTGGTATGTCTGACCTCTGACCTCTACAACACTCACACAGATATTCCTCAACGTAATGTATTATATCTGACCTCTAACCTTACAACACTCACGCAGATATTCTTTGTGTAATGAATTGTTATGTCTGACCTCTGACCTTTTCAAATCTCATACCGATAATCTCAGGGTGTTGTAATTGCTATGTCTGATCTCTGACTATTACAAGGTAATGTATCGTTATATCTGACATCTGACCTTTACAATACTGATACAGATATTCCCAGGGTAACATATTGTTATGTCTGACCTCTGACCATAACAAGGTAATGTATCGTTATATCTGACATCTGACCTTTACATTACTGATACAGATATTCCCAGGGTAACATATTGTTATGTCTGACCTCTGACCATAACAAGGTAATGTATCGTTATATCTGACATCTGACCTTTACATTACTGATACAGATATTCCCAGGGTAACATATTGTTATGTCTGACCTCTGACCATAACAAGGTAATGTATCGTTATATCTGACATCTGACCTTTACATTACTGATACAGATATTCCCAGGGTAACATATTGTTATGTCTGACCTCTGACCATAACAAGGTAATGTATCGTTATATCTGACATCTGACCTTTACATTACTGATACAGATATTCCCAGGGTAACATATTGTTATGTCTGACCTCTGACCATAACAAGGTAATGTATCGTTATATCTGACATCTGACCTTTACATTACTGATACAGATATTCCCAGGGTAACATATTGTTATGTCTGACCTCTGACCATAACAAGGTAATGTATCGTTATATCTGACATCTGACCTTTACATTACTGATACAGATATTCCCAGGGTAACATATTGTTATGTCTGACCTCTGACCATAACAAGGTAATGTATCGTTATATCTGACATCTGACCTTTACAATACTGGTACAGATATTCCCAGGGTAACGTATTGTTATGTCTGACCTCTGACCATTACAAGGTAATGTATCATTACATTTAACCTCTGACCTTTACATTACTGATACAGATATTCCCAGGGTAACATATTGTCATGTTCGACATCTGACCTTGACAGAAGTAATGAATTGTTATATCTAATCTCTGACCTTTAATATATTCACACAGATTATCCCTATGTTAATGTATTGGTATGTATTAGCATCTAATCCCAGATCTTTTCTCACAAACTTGTCCAACAAAGCTATCAGGCACGTCGACACACTATGTATAGATTAGGTTTTTATGTGATGGTGTGACATTCATCTGTCATCTATCCATTGTCAGTCCTATCCAAATATTTTACTGTTTAAAAAACTTTGAAACAGCATTTCCAGCCAAACATCAATGTTAATAATATTTAGGCAGCAGCACCATGTTACAAAGGGCTATCAAATCTTTGCAGAGAAATTACCTTGGTCTTCTTACTTGGTTAGAAGTGTCAAATGTGTGAAAAGTTTTTGACGACATTCCTTCAGGCCCTGAAGGTTTAGAGAAGTGGCTTTGTGGGATAACACAGTACACTATCCTCCCTGAAGGTTTAGAGAAGTGGCTTTATGGGATAACACGGTACACTATCCACCCTGAAAGTTTAGAGAAGAGGCTTTATGGGATAACATGGTACACTATCCACCCTGAAGGTTTAGAGAAGTGGCTTTATGGGATAACACGGTACACTATCCTCCCTGAAGGTTTAGAGAAGAGGCTTTATGGGATAACA